TCTCTCAACATTAAGATTAAAAGAATTTAAGCTAGCTGTGCTACTGGAACTCAATTGTTTTTCCTAATCATTAAGCTAAGCCATAGTCTACACGGCTCCTCAATAGAAATTCATATGTTCTAGCTGTGTGAAACTTTTTATTTTTTAGACTCTGCAGCCTCTGCTTTATCAGATGCAGGGACAACATTTTATCCTACTTTACCATATGTCATTTTTTTCTCACAAATTTAACAGTGCATCTTAGGAGGAAATCATCTTCATAATCATCCACAGGTAAAAATGCCCAGCAGAACGGGGTATTTCCAGGGGATGGTCACACTGCATCAAGGACAGTGGGGATCTCCCCACACCCATTCACACCATCCCAGATACCAGAGACAAATGGCAGCGGCAAATATGCAAAGACAGAGCAGTAGCCAGAAACACTCTGTCACCCCTCAAGTCAGTTGCCATCTGCTGTTCCTCTGACAGGGCCACCAGTAAGATGTATAGTGTCAATTCATCCTGTGTTCCACCGTTTATCTGTTGTCCAGGTGACCTGCCTATTGAAGAAAGGAGGGTACTGGTCACTACTGCTAATGGATTGATGTTGATGTCTTTAATTTCAGTGGTAGATTTGTTACGAATTGGGTGCCCCAAGTTTGGTGCAGATTTATTTGAGATAGCAATGCTGGGACTGGAGAGATAGTTTAGCAGTCAAGAACACTTGTTGCTCTTACAAAGGTCCTGGATTCAGTTCCCAGATACCATGTGGTGGATCACAAACCTCTGTTTTCCAGTTCCATGGGATCTCTAGACCTCTTATGACCTTAGAGGGCACTAGGCACATACATGGTATACATATATGCATGCAGGCAAACACTCATGTACATAAAAAAATCTAAAATTAAAACTTAAAAAAATTTAAAAGGTAGTTATGTCTTCTTGGTTAACTGTCCCCTTGATTAGAATGAAGTGTCCCTCTTTATCTCTTCTTATTAATTTTATTATTAGATTATTTTGACAGGTATTAGGAGAGAGACATCTGCTTACTTCTTTTTTCCCCTTTTTTAATTTAAGTTAGAAACAAGTTTGTTTCACATGTCAATCTCAGCTCCCTCTCCTTCCCCGTCCCTTCCCACCAGGCCCCACAGTACCCCACCCAATCTCCAGTCTGATCCCCAGGTAGAGTGAGGCCCTCCATGGTGGATCTCCAGAGTCTGTCATGTCATCCAGGGTAGGGATAGGGCCTCTTTCAAGAGTCCAGGCTGAGAGAGCATCCCTCATTGTGGGATGGGCACTCAAAGTCTATTTGTATGCCAGGGATAAATACTACCCAAGGCTCCATAGATTACCTAGGCCTCCTCACTGACACCCACATTCAGGGGGTCTGGGTCAGTCCCAGGCTTTCCACACAGCCATCAATATGGGGTCCAAGAGCTACCCTTGTTTAGGTCAACTGTTTCTGTGGGTTAAACCAGCCCAGTCTTAACTCCTTTGTCCATCAATCCTCCCTTTCTGAAACTGGATTCCAGGAGTTTCGTTCAGTGTTTATCTGTGGATATCTGCCTCTGCTTTCATCTGCTTACTTCTTGAACCCATTTGATTGGAGTACTTTTGTCTATCCTTTTTAAGGTATTCCTGATCTTTAAAATTGAGATGTGTTTCTTGTAAGCAGTGGGCAGTGGGTTGGTTTTGTTTCTTGATCCATTCAGTCTGTGTCTTTTGATTGAAGAATTGAGGCTATTGATACTTAAAGTTACTATTGAAATGTTAGTTGTGATCATCGTGTTTTTGATTTTTGGTGTTCTCAGTGGTACTTTGTGTTTTAATAATTAAGTTTCATATTTCTTTGCATGGTCTCTCTCCTATGTTAACTCCTCTCTTCACCCAGAAATAATGTTTTCTGTTTTTCCCTTAGGTTTGGTTCGTTGGATATAATTTTTTAGGCTGTTTATATCATAGAAAGTTTTTCTTTCTCCTTCAAACATGCCAGATAGTTTTGATGGGTATATTGTTCTGTGTTAGCTGTCATAGTCTGTGTGCTTCTTGTATATGCAGGGGTGTGTGCATAGCTTTTCTTTCCTTCTTATTCCATATCTGGTTGTGTGGCTGGTCCCTTCTTTCCTTGCTCCTTCACCTCCTCTCCCAGATTTCTCCTATTTATTCTGTCTGCCTGCAGGTCCTGCCTATCCATTTTCCTGCCCTGCTATTGACCTTTCAGCTCTTTATTAGACCAATCAGGTATTTTAGGCAGGCAAAGTAACTCAGCTTCACAGAGTTAAACAAATGCAACATAAAAGAATGCAATTCATCTTTGCATTATTAAACAAATGTTCAACAGTATAAATAAATGTAACACATCTTAAAATAATATTCCACAACAGATGTGTCTTTCCTTGGCTTGGGGAAGTTTTCTTCTATGATCTTGTTGAAGATCTGGTTTATGCCATTAACTTGGGGTTCTTTTATCTATGCCTGAAATTTGAAGGCTTGTCTTCCTTTTCCTTCCTTTCTTCCTTCTTTCTGGATGTCCCACATCTGTGTGCTTCTTGTGATTTTTTTCATGTTCCTTGCTTATTTGGTCTAGATCTCCACTTCCATTTTGAGACCTGATATCTATCTTCTGCTTAATTCATTATACTTGTAATGCTTTCCTTTGAGTTTTCTATTGGGTTTTTCAATCCCATCTTCATTTCAGCTTGAGTCATCTTCAGTGTTTCTATCTCTTTATTGAATTCCATTTTCATGTACTGGATTATCTTTGCCATTTTTATCAGTCTTAATGTTTGTGTTTCCTTGGGCATCACTTAGGCATTTATTCTCCTTTAGCTCTTTCTCCTTATTTCATTGAGCTGTTACTTTGTGACTTCTTTAAATTCTTTGACTTAAGGACTTTTGTAGTTGTTCTTTTAATTTCTGTGTCCTGGAGGTCAATTCTGATTGGCAAGCATTTCTACAGGAATGGCTGTTAGGTTTTTAGAGAGAAGATGCTGGCTTGAGCTTTCATACTGTTACTTCTGCAATGAGATCCGAGCCTGTGAAATTCCTTTGTAGTTTTGAGTTTGTAATCAATGAAGCAGGAAAGGGGAGATGAGAGGGTGTGAGGTGTGTTTGTTCTAGAGGTTGGAAATGGCTTGGGTGGGATGAAGTCAGGTGGGCAGAGGGGACTTGGGTGGTATATGGGATGTGCTTCCTGTTCATAGTCAGGAATGTGGGAGCAGATTCGAGTGGAGAGCCTGGGTATGGCATGGGAGAGTCCTATAGGATGGCAGGTAGTAGGGAGGATACTGGCCCACTGTGGTAGTTTGAAAGAAAATGGTCCCCAAAGGGAGTGGAATTATTAAGGGGTGTGGCTTGTTGAAGTAGGAGTGCCCTTGTTGGAGGAAGTGTGTCACCGTGGGGTTGGGCTTTGAGGTCTATGCTCAAGATACTGCCCAGTGTGACAGACCACTTCCTGTTGTCTATGAATCAAGACATCAGAACTCTCAGCTCCTTCTCTAGCATCGTGTCTGCTTGCATGCTGCCATGCTTCCCTCCATGATGATAATAGACTGAGCCTCTGGAACTGTGAGCCACCACAGCTAAATTTTATTTATAAGAGTTCCTGTGGTCATGGTGTCTCTTCACAGTAATAGAAACCCTAAGACACCCACCCTAGAGCTCCCCTAAAGGGAAGGCAAGGAAGGCCAGACCACGTTGAAGAACTGGTTGGAGGACTCAGGTTAAATTAGGTAGGTTTTAGAAAATACCTGGATGAAGAGGTTAGGGGTGCTCCAGGGCTGGACCCAGGAGGAGGATGTGGGATGTCTGGTGGGTATGGAGTGGATGGAGGATATGATTCAAAGGATCATGTGGGTGGATGCAGGTGCTGCAGGTCCTGGTGGAAGCCCTGATGTTGGGTACCTTGCAGAAGGTGATGGAGCTAAGCTGGAGTACCAGATATGGGACTCTGCCAAAGGATAGAGGCCCCTGCTGCAAGTTGCTGGTGGCCAAACTGTACAAGGGCACCGGTTGTGGGAACTGGGTTTGATTCAGCAGGATGTAGAAAACAAGGGATGGGTGATGGGGGTACTCACCAGCTAGTCCTTAGACAAGGATGCGGAAAGTCTGGGCATGGAGTGGGGTGGTAGAGATGAAACAAAGCATCCTGTAAGTGGGGGAATGTTTAAACTTTGTGGTCATGATCTATGATTTAGGGGGTTGAAACATTGCCTATTTGAAGCTACTGGGCTTCATCCAGAAGCAGTGTGTACAGGTTAGGTCTTGTTTGCTTGTTTGTTAGTCAATTTGATACAAGTTAGAGTCATCTGGGTAGAAGTAATCTCAGTTGAGAAGATTGGCCTGCAGGTGAATCTGTGAGGCAGTTTCTTTCCCAATGATTGACATGAGAAGGCCCAGCCCACTATGAGCAGGGTCGATCCTGACCAGACTGTCCTGAGAGGTATAAGAAAGTAATCTGAGCCCTCAGGAGCAAGCCAGTGAACAGCAGTCCTCTGTGACCTCTGCATCAGCTCCTGCCTCCAGGTTCCTCCTGCCTTGACTTCCCTTCATGACGAACAGAATCTATAAGCTGAAGCGAATCTTTTCTTCCCTGAGTTGCTTTTGGTCCTGCTGTCTATCACAGCAGTAGAAACCTTCATGGGACTTGTTATGGGTTGTTGAGTGAAGGGCAGGCACCTGGGGTACTGCCGAGTTCATTCTATGGGGCAGAAAGGGGGTCCATTTAGATAGAAAGCCAAGTGAGAGAGAAGACCCGTGACAGAGAGAAGGCTTGAGATTTGGGGGTGGGGGCAGGACAGGAAAGCTGCAGCTGTCAGTACAAGGGGCAGAAATCATGAGCATCCTAGCAGAAAGGACAGTTGCAGAGCCAAGGACAGCTGACATTGGAAGGAAGTATAGACTGAGGCAGAACTTAGAGCACCAGCTACGGAGAGAAAAAAAGAACAGCATTATGTCAGTAGAACAGAAAAAACAGCTTCCATCAAGGGAGCATGTGAGGGCTCAGAGGTGAGAGTATGCCCGGGCTCTGGATAGGACTTTATTATTATTATTAAATTGTTTTATACAATAAATTTTGATCATGTTTTCCTCTCCCTTAACTCCTCGTAGATCCTACCTCCTTCCCCACCCAAATTTATTTTATTCCTCTCTCTTTCAATAAAACAAAACACAAAAATGAAAAAACAAAAGAAACAACCAAAAACATCCAGGAAGACAAAAAACACCAAAACAAAGCAAGTGTCTTCCAGATACACAGGACTGATTGTCATGGGCTCACAAAGACTGGCAGCGCATAGAAGACCTGCACAGGTTCAAGCTCGATGAGGTCCCGGTGCTAAGAGAGGGAGTAGACTCGGGCTCCCACCCCTAATGAAGAAGCTACCAGTAATTGATGCCTGCTGGCAAAGGCAAAATCAGTGTGTTCCAACGGAGTCTCACTGGGCATATTAACCACACTGCAGGGCAGGCCCCACCCATGCCTAGGAGTGGTTGGCCAACATAAAATGGATAAGACCTTTTGTCATCTCCATGGCCTTGGCAGTTTGAAACAACTGCAGTGCCCAAGAGCAAGGAGCGTACCTTCTAAAAAGAACTCATCCCTCTTACCCACGTCATCCAAATTCTGCGGATTCCCTGCTTCAGGATGATCCAAAAATATTCCTAATACTTGTTCCAGGCATGGACCTAGGTCTTATTCATAGACAAACTAGTTCTGGTTCCTGTCGGCATCTGTCCATGGGGAGGACTTCTTATTTCAGCTCAAAGGAACCCATGTCTTGCTCAAGGGAAAGAGCGTGGACCTCCCTTTATTACCGTTTGTCACGTACATCTTTATTCATCATACCAGGTCCAGTGGGATAAGACGGTCTGTTCCACAGCGGTGTGGGCTTTCCGACTCGTCAACTACTAAGCAGTGGGCACAAGAACAGCACACTTCTGTTCTTATCTTATTAGATTAAAATCACTGGTAGTGAATGACTCCAAAGGATAGACTCGGGAGTTGGTGTGATGAGACGTCTTCTCTATCCCCGTGCCGAGTTTGGAAAGATGCTGGATGCTCAGATGCGTCTCTGGGGCCACTGACATTACATTGGTAAGGTTATCGAGAATCTGAGCTGAAGGAACGTTTTCCGTCTTGTAACAGTCGGTGCTAAACGGGATGGCGCAAAACACGAGGTCTGAGGGCAGCAGGCAGCACTCATTAGCCGGCCTGGTAATTACAAACCTGTGAGGAGAGCCAAAGGAAATTCTGAAACCGCCGTTTGCACAGCATGGCTACAAGCAATGCCCTGAAGATGACCTTTTTCTCCTTCTGGCCACTGGCACGCAGAACAGGAGGGGTCACTTCTCTAAAACACACCCACTTGGACATGGCAGCCCAGCTCTCTGGGAGCGGCTATTCTCATGATTTTAATGAGAGAGAAGCAAGCCCGTGTCTGGGAGAGCTCCTCTCTATTGGCTTATCTGGCTCCAGGGTTATCTGATTTAGTATACACATGCCTTCAGTTAGCACACTTCTGAGTACTGAAGCAAACTGGGACACGAGCCAGGAAGACAGGTCAATGCTGGACACTGGCCTCACACGTGCAGGGCCTTGGGTCCCACCCCGTGTAACTGCAAACACACAAGTTTGCTTGTTACAACATGCCAGGGTCCCAGATAGTTCCATACAGACTTATATCTATCTCGACCTGATGTGTCTGTCACAAGCGTTTTACATAGAATGCAGCCTGACCAAAGAATAAATTAATTTAACACCTAAATTTCTATTAACAGTAAATCTGAAAGAATACCCACAGCCTGGTGCTCCATGAGAAGACGTTTAGGGAAGCAAGGCACCTCAACAAGCAGTCAAGTTCAGAGCAAACCTCAACAGGTATGAGTTAATACCCAGGATTCACAACAAATGTAGGCAGCTGACCTTGTGTGACTTTCATGTCCCTTCTCCACCGCCCGGCAGGTCCCCTCCATCAGCCAGTAATCTACTCATAATTTCCCACGGGTCCTCTGTGGCCCTGATTGGTTCTAATTAACATTTGGCACAATCACAAATTCCTTTTAAAAGAAAGATAGCATTTCCTTCCTCTCTAATAGATGCAGCGCGTTCTTCCAAAACCCATATTCTACAGACTTTCCAGACCCGTGGGGGCAGGGTGTAGGGTTGAGAGAAAGTGGGGCAGGGGAACCATGTTTTACATAGGTCTCATTATACTCAGAGCCCTGCTCCTCCCCACTGGCCTAAAAGTGTTTTAAACCCACTTAGCCCTCCCTCCTAATCCATGAGTGTCACCTTTAGGTCTCCAGCACTCGGGCAGCATTTTCTTCCTAACTCAGGCTCCATCACCACTGTTCACTGCTACAGTGTTTCTGTGCTCTACAGCTGTGTCACTAGGCTCACTTCTCTGACATCTGCTACCCAAAGATTCTCCATCTCCAAACCACGTTCCAGGAACATCCTGAGTGTTACCACTTCCTGACTATGTCCCACGTCAGAAATCTCAAGCTTCAGCAAATGAGTCTCCACACACAACCTCCCTCCATCCTCTCTCTCCTGCTCTCTTACTCTGGGTGCATCTCCTCTCTGTTCATCAGGATTTCCAGTCCTCATCCCCGATCCTACAGTCTACCATTGTTCCCTGTATCCATGACAACCCTGCTTTCACACCACCCATCAGCCCATCTGAATATTACCTCTTCTAACTCCGCATCACCCTCCCACCTCCTCTCTGCACTGTGACTCCTCCACCTCCTCTCTGCACTGTGACTCCTCCACCTCCTCTCTGCACTGTGACTCCTCCCATCTCCTCTCTGCACTGTGACTCCTCCACCTCCTCTCTGCACTGTGTGACTCCTCCACCTCCTCTCTGCACTGTGTGACTCCACCTCCTCTCTGCACTGTGTGACTCCTCCACCTCCTCTCTGCACTGTGACTCCTCCATCTCCTCTCTGCACTGTGTGACTCCTCCTCTCTCTCTGCACTGTGACTCCTCCACCTCCTCTCTGCACTGTGTGACTCCTCCTCTCTCTGCACTGTGTGACTCCTCCACCTCCTCTCTGCACTGTGTGACTCCTCCTCTCTCTGCACTGTGACTCCTCCACCTCCTCTCTGCACTGTGACTCCTCCACCTCCTCTCTGCACTGTGACTCCTCCACCTCCTCTCTGCACTGTGACTCCTCCACCTCCTCTCTGCACTGTGACTCCTCCACCTCCTCTCTGCACTGTGTGACTCCTCCCACCTCCTCTCTGCACTGTGACTCCTCCTCTCTGCACTGTGTGACTCCTCCACCTCCTCTCTCTGCACTGGCTATGTAAGCACTAAGAAATGTTAGTGCTAAGTAACCCACACACACACATCTTATATTGTTCATTTATTGTCTCTTCTTACTATAGTGTTCTTCCTTCTCGCATTTCTTTCTGTCCTCCCCCTCTTTCTCTTTCTCACTTGAGCTCACTATTTCGGGTAATTTTATTTGTCCCCTGACTGGAATGGGTTCCACCAACCTATTTCTACTCTTCCATTTTTTCACTTCTCCCTGGCTACTAACTGCTTTCATTCCAATGTGACAGTCCTGTCTTGGAACTGCATGGTTGAGCTGTTATAGATTGCATCCTTTCTTTTCCCCTTTCCATTTTGATCCAGATAGATTTTCTCTCTTTCCCACCACTAGCATAATGATCTCCTTTTAATAAAGCTGGAGTCTGAACACAGTGCACTTATGATTTAAGAATCCAAGCCACTGTGACTAGAGAGAAGCATCCATTAAACATTTCCCAGTGAACCCAACAGGAAACCAGGGCATCCCTCTGATGTAGCAGCAGCCTCGTGGGTGGAGGTAGGCCATACAAGAACTCTTATGTAAAGTTAATGCTTTAGTTTCCAATAGGGACAGAATCTCTATTCTCCTTACAAGGTTCATGGGATTCTGATGACATGCTTCCCGTTGTTTGGACCCAGTCTTCCATATTCTTACATCATTATCTATCCCCTTGCATCCTGCTATGCAATAGCTGGTCTGGAGCTCTGGACTTGGCCTTGGTTCTACACTTAAAAGTGGCTAGCACTTTTCAAATCACCATACTCCCCTTTTGTGTTCTGGGTTGTGTCCCTGCTCATCCATCACACGGTATAAGCCAACACATAGGATCCCATAATTATCTAGTGAGCCACAGAAGAGTTGTCCAAAGGTTTTTCTTGGCTGCGAAGAGAGCAGAACAACAGGGCTGTGTAAGCACTTTAATCCAACAGCTGTAAGAACTTCCTTGCGTGTTGTTTGCCAGCTCTTTGCTGCAGACACCCAGAAAACCTGGCAGCCCTTCATTGGCTTGTGATGGCAGTGTAAGGGGGCAGTCACAGAGGTTTGTGATTAGTTATCCCTTTATGATTCTGGTTTCCTCAGGAGCCTCTGGTGGATGTAGTGTGGCACATGGTCTTGCACGTCATTTTACCGTGCTAGTTTTGGCCCCCATTAAGATGAGCGACAGGTTCAAAATTAATCATGAGCAACAGGTTCAAAAATTCAGTTTTAGGGTAAACTTCAGGGGATCTCAAGCATTCCTGCTCTAAAGCTATGGTCAACAAGGCCACAGTTCAAAGGCAGTGGCAGATAGGCTAGAAGCATCTGGAAAGGCGAGGTCAACAGCTGCTCAGTTCTGTGCTTCCTTAGGGAAAGATGGAATTGAGAACAGAAATGCAGGACAGCCTGCTGTTACCTCGGAGATCCAGAGGAGGCACCTGCAGCAGCTCTCTGGGCTTACCCCTCACCAGGCAACTGCAGGTGAGGGTCCCAGAACCACATACAGGCAGGTGGTGTTTGCATCTGGAATTCACAGGCACAGAACACTTGGGCAGTATGTGTTGGGCCATGTTCAGGGCAGAGGTCTACAGAGCACATGCCTTTGGAGGGCCCTGCTGGCAGCCACTGACTTTACAAAGATGTCTCCTTGTCCAGTGAGTGCTCACTATAACCCTGAACAGGGGGATGCAGTGTCAATCAGAACAAAGCACACCGAGAAGTGGATGACTTGTGACCAGGCTGCACTCTACCCCAGCTCCTACGGGATGATGCCCCACTGGAAGCTGCCCACGGGGTTATCTTGTTATGATCTGCCTTTTCCTGCTTTCTGGGCCAAGAAAGTATCAGCATATTCCGTAAACCAGTGACAGTCTTAGAGCCAGGTCCAGAGTTCTGCCTGACTACAGGTGGCCTGACCAGAATTCTCTAGCATTGTAGGAACTGAGGCAACAGCCTGAGCCTGGAACACACTCCTTAGCTTGTCCACCGCTGTGATATGGTTAAAACTGTAACGGCCTCATGTGAGCCTCAGTTCCTTGATCTGCTAAGTGGGTTTAGTTACTTAACTCATGTCATCCCTGGACAGATTCACACAAAAGACTGAAATAGAGGAGATCTAGGGCTTCTTGGAAGGTAGAGGTCAAGGGGACTACGAATGACAACAACCTTACTGCTGCATCGTGTCATGACAAGGTGAAAGGGCAAGAGAGGCCACATGTAAGAGAGGGAGGAGGCCAAGCCCATCCTTCTACTGGTACCCTACTCCTGCTAGGGACACTTAGTTCCTCATGCTCCCTCCACCAGTCTTTTAATGGCTCACCCTTCAACACCGTTGCATTAGGGACTGAGTTTCCAATACGAGATCTAGAGGGGATGCATCCACATATAGTGTTGGGTCTCTCTGATGCTGCTTGCAGATTTAGCTGGAGGATGGAGATTTTTTCCCATCCTCTTTCTCTACCTCTGGAGATTTTTGCAAAGAATAAACGCAACCGATGAAAATGTACTGTGCAGAGACACTGTAGCTATAACACTGTATTGTATTAAATTTTTACTAGTTATTATTTCTGTGTTAAGTCATTTATGATCTGAAGCAACCTAGACCATTGAAAATCAGAGAGTTAAGGAAGTAGGAAATGCGTTATAGTAACAGTAGACTCACCTCAATGTCTGATAGAATGGTTTGGTCTAAAGAGAGAAGCCCCAGCTTACACCGTGCCCTCCCAGACAAGACTGTGGCACAGCCTTCATGTATCCCGTAGTACTTCTCCTTAACCAAACACTGCTCCATCTGAGCACTGATGCCACCTGTTACTAGCATCTGAAGTAACTCCAGGACATGATAGTTGTAGAAGGCCTGGAAAACAAAGGCAAGCCACGAGTGAAATCAGAGGGGCCAGCACATGAACGGTAGGCATTGGGACATAGAGGTTAAGTAGGCATCACCATGTCAAGTGGGCCTCATGGTGCTGGTTTTTATCACCACTATCAAATTCAAATTGAGTTTAAGTTGGCACTTTGGGTAGAGTGCTGGGTTAGTTAAAGCAAGGAGAAAAACAAACAAACAAACAGTGAGGAGGTCTTGTTCCTATAGTGCAGACACTGAAAAGTGAATAATGGTGCTGATATCCCAGAGCCTTCTTCCTCCATAAGTGACCAGAGTAGTGTGTCAAGCCACAATGCCCTAAGCATTGTCAATGTACATTTAAAAAATGTATATATAATTAATGAGATAGATTTTTCCTTGAGGTCACACTGACATTTTTGTCATCTATTCTTGAGCTTTGGGGATGTGAATTTACTTACAGTTCTTGAATAATGACCTATTTAAAGCCACACAGTGATGTCACTCATGGGACTCCCATAGTTCTTTTCACCACAGTAACAGTTATAAGTGTCAGATAAATAGAGTTTTAGAATCTTTGGTGTCTTAGTTGCTGTGAAGAGACACCATGACCAAGGCAACTCTTATAAAAGCATTTAATTATAGGTTTGCTTACAACTTCAGAGGTTAGTTCATTGTCATTGAGGTGTGGAAGATGGTAATACATAGGTAGACATGGTATTGGAGAAGTTGCTGAAAAGTCAGCATCCTGATTCGTAGGCAGAGAGAGAGCTACTGGGCCTGGCAGGGGCTTTTGAAATCTCAAAGCCCCACCCCTGGTGACACACTTCCTCCAATAAGCCCATACCTCCTAGTCCTTCTAATCCTTTCAAATAGTGCTACTCCCTGGTGACTAAACATTCTAATATTTGAGAGTATGAGGCCATTCTTATTCAAGTCAAACATTTGGTGTCCAGGGGAAACCAGAAGAGGAAATGGAGACAAGTTCGCACACCAAAACAAGCTTGAGTCTAAACAATCTGAGGTGTTCTCCATAAACTCCCTCTCCAGAATTAGTTACAATCTTACATCCTGTGTAGTAGGTTTTCTCAAGATGACAGAATACATATTTTCTAAGAGTTTTACTTATTTCATTTTTTAGGTTGACATAACAAAGTAATGGGTTTTGTGATGGCATCTGCATATGGCTGCTTCTTGATATTCTCTTCTCATTTCTCCAGTCTCTCCCATCCTCTCCCATGCTCCTCTGTCATCCAGCTGGTTCCCTTTACTCCCCCAGTTAGTCCCTACTTTCCAAGTGCATATATCCTAATGCCTTGTATACTCCCCACCTCCCTTAAATATCACACTCCCTTCTCGTGAACTCCTTGTTTCAAACATACACATGTACATACACAAGTATACACACATGTGCACACACAATTACACACATACAAGTATACAAAACTTTAGATTCTGCACATGAAAGGAACATGTTTGTCTTTCTGCACTTAACATAATGATTTGTGGGTGCACACCTTCTCCTGTGAATGTCAAGGCTTCCTTTTTTCTATGGCTGCAAACAATTCTATTGTGCTCATGTGCCACATCGTATTCATTAGTCATATGCTGATGGACACTTGACTGGCTGTGTTTCTCAACTGTTGTGAACAGTGCACCTATAAATATAAATGCCTAAGAACTTCTATAGTATGATAGCTTGGAGTCCTTCAGATACAAGCCTAGGAGATGGATCATATAATAGCTCTATTTTACTTTTCTTACTTGAAAGAGATCAATTTTAGAAGAGGGTCACTGGGCACTGGTGGCACGCCTTTGACCCCAGCACTCAGGAGGCAGAGGCAGGTGGATCTCTGTGAGTTCAAGGCCAGCCTGGTCTATAGAGTGAGTTCCAGAACAGCCAGGATATACAGAGAAACACTCTCTTGGGAAAAAAAGGGGGGTCAATTAAAAAATATTCACCACTTTTATTCTTAAAAAATTGACTAAAAAAGAATGCCAATTCTAACTGCACGTAAATTCCTTAAGTGGTATAGTCTTTGGGTCTGGACATTGGCACATGATGTTTCTGTTTGCAAGTTTTTAAAAATAAAGTTCTTTTCTTTCTGTGTATACGTCTGTGTAAATGTGCATGCACACACGGGGGCTGGTCCATGCTCTGTGGGAGAACGTGAAGGGTAAAGGGAGGAACTGGGCGCATGCCGCCTTCACTCTTGCTTTATTCCTTTGGAGGCAGGGTCTGTCACCGCCCCTGGAGCTTACATTACTTTGGCTAGGCTGGCAGTCAGCGAACCCTAGCAACTCTCCTGTCTCTATCACCGTCAGATATGCACAGGTCCGCACTCAGCCTGTTCTGCAGACGCTTCCATCTAAGCCCCTGTCCCATAGGGCACAACAAGCGCTCGTAGCCAGAGTTACAGGTCTGGGGGAAGTGTCCGCCCAGTGTGTCCTCAGCATCTGCAGAAACTCACTTTCCTACCAGCTGTGGAGAAGGTTCAGAGGTCCTTGCACCCTGGTCAGCCTTCGCTGTCACGTGCTTTGGTGGCCATTCTGCCGGGATGAGAGAATCTCAAAGCAGTTTAATCCCCGTTTCCCTGATGTCTGGGGATTTTAGAATTCTTGGTGCTGCTCTCGGTTGTACTTTTTTCTTTTTTGGGGGGGGTGTCAAGACAGGATTTCTCTGTGTAGCTTTGGAGCCTGTCCTGGAACTCACTCTGCAGACCAGGCTGGCCTTGAACTCACAGAGATCCACCCGTCTCTGCCTCCCGGGATTAAAGGTTTGGGCCACCACCACCCAGTCCTGATTTTTTTTTTCACTTCCCACATTTCTATTCCCAAAGTGTAGCTTTACTAATTAAGTTTCCTTTCATCTGGCTGACGTTTTGACCATCTCTCTGACTCTTGTCCAGCCCGCTGGCTCTGGTCTCGATGCTGCTTCCCTCTCGAGGGGCTGGGGTTGGATTCATCTGTTCTTTGTGTCCTCCTTCAGGTCACTGACCTGGTCCTCACCTGGAATTTTACCCATTTGAATGTTGGCGTTTGGCAGCTGATGAACCCTGGTGTCTTAGGGGCTTCATGCTGCCTAGATCTCCTTTGTTGGGTTGCAGTTCGCATCTCTTTTGGTTCCAGTGCCTTTCCTGTTATGTAGCTCTTCTCACTCAACAGCCTACTCTGGAAGGCTCATCTCCAGCACAATGTTAAGAGTCACCTCAGAAATGTAACCTGCTTGATTCCCCTTCAATGCAGACATCTCTGCTTACACAGGGGTTAATGTAGCTTATACTTCAAGAACACCATGGCCTATCAGCTCATTTAGCAGTGTTCTAGTGCCAAGGTAGAGCTATTTGTCTGAGAGCTCAGTAGGGTTTACAAGGTATTCACTGTGGCTAAGAGGAGCAGAGCCATGTTATTTCCTCAGCTCTAGGGAGCAGTGACTCCATGAAGACTGTACATGGCCCAGCCATGCTCTGATAACATGCAGACCGTCTTTGAGGCAAGCACGCCATTCAGGAACACGGAACTACAGAAAGCAAGGTGTTTACCAAGCTCCCCTCAGAGCCTCATGCATTTGGATTTTCTCATTAATATTTGGTCTTTTTGCAACCTTCTCTTGAAAAACCCTTCGTGGGAGGAGTCTGGGAGGCAGTGGATCACATGATTTCCTTTCAGGGCTTCCTACAGTCATTCACAAATGGTTGCACACAGATTGTCTGGTCTTAGACAAGTTCAGATTCCTCAGATACCTTATTCCTGCCTGGGACATTCTTCCTAAAAGCTCTCAGTGACATCCACTCCCTTCCAGGTAATGACTTGCAAGCATCCCCTCAGAATCCCTTGCCCTGGTCATAGTTGAAATCCCTTCCCCCAAGCTCCGTATAATCCTGTCTCCCCTGACCTTTGCCTTGTATGCATTCTTTCTGTTGCTAGTTACCCATGTCTAAGTTGGTCTCTGCTGTACCCTGCTGGTACAGTGCCCAGCACAGTAGGTGTTCACTGTTTCAGAGTGGATTCTGCTCATGGGAATCCTGTGATGGGTGTCAGGGGTCTGCTTACAGCCAAAGAACCACTGAACCATCACCAGAAACTTAAAATGGATCCCACAAGAGGAGCAATACAGAGGGAGATTTGGCGTTGATCTGAATAAATGGCATGCTCCTCCCAAGACCAAGCCTTTCCGCTTGAAAGTCCTGGGTCCTCTTATGGTGATGTCTACATGAACTATTGGGGAGATCAGTCTACAGAGCTCTGACACAGCTGAATGCAAAGATATAAGTTGGGTGTCCGTCCCCCCAGGCATTTGGGATTCCCTCGACGCCGGGACTGCAAGGTTGTAATCTTGAAAATGTGAACATTTGAAAAGATGAAATAATGCCTGTGAAGTTGCCTTTTCAGAAAAGTAAAAAGAGGTCAAAACTGGGAGCAGTGGTCTCTTCATGAGAGGCTCGCTCCAGAGTACTCTGGCTCATCTGCACCTACCGTGGCCAGAAGAGAATCCAAGAAGTTGCCTGAAAAGACGGCACCCGTGGAGAAGGAAGTGCTGAGATGCAGGCTGGTTCCTTTGAGTGTCCCATCCAGCCCTCCAATCTGCTCGATAAAGTGGATGTTGGAGGGGTTCTCTGTAAGACAAGATGAAAAGGCAAAGCCAGCCACGGGAGAGCGGGAGACGGCTGCCTGCATTCCTAAACTCAGTCCTCTCTGGGACAACAGTGCCCCATGGGCTTTCTGTCCCTCTGTGTGGCTCAGCCAGTAAAGTGCTTGCCACACATCCAGGAAGAGCCATTTGAGCCTAGAATTTATGTTTAAAAAAAAAGCCATGGGGCTGAAAAGATGGCTCAGCAGTTCAGAGCACGGCTGCTCTTCCAGAGGACCTGGGTTCATAACTAGATTGTTCCATGAGGACTATAAGACACTTCGAAGCCTGCTTTGTTTCTTTTTGTTTTTTGTTTTGTTTTGTTTTGTTTTGTTTTGTTTTGAGAAAGGGTTTCTCTGTATAGCTTTGTAGACCAGGCTGGCCTCAAACTCACAGAGATCCACCTGCTTCTGCCTTCCGAGTGCTGAGATTGAAGGTATAAGCCACCACCACTGGTTATTTTGTTTTGTTTTTTTTACTCAGACTAACATAAGAAAACAACAATTTCTCCCCAGTCTAAGACAAGCTACATACATTTAGCTAATTTATAACCTCAAAATAACTTCAGACTAGAATGTCTCTGTAAATGGATCATAAGTTAAAAACTTTGCAGATATGCACAAGAACAGTTATAGGTGTCTAAACCAAGGTTATCAGCACGAAGCAACCTAAAATACTATGTGAGTTTCTCTTGCCAAGTCTGACTGATAAAGACCTACTTCCTGTGCAAATTCTTCAGCAGCTTGTCTGACTAGGCACTATGCCCCCCACCTCTGGCCACAGCCTGTACACCAAGAACCTGGAAGCCAGGCGTTGACATGATTACCCTCTCCCCTCAGATGTAGCTTTTGTAAACTTTTTTATTGAAAGTTTGTTGTTGAGTGTCTGTGTGTGTGTGAGTGTGTATACACACACACACACACACACACACACACACATATATATATATATATGTGTGTGTGTGCTAGGTGAACAAAGGAGCTAGAGAGAATTGGAGCTAGAGAATTGGAGCTAGAGAAGGCGAGCTGGAAATAGAAAGAACATCACCCTCAGATTGTATATGTGAGACTTTCTCTTTGGATAGATAGGAAATTTTCCAAAGTCCCCACTGCTCCGAAGGCATTCTTTTCTGCAACCCTGGGTGCAGTTCTGGGAGCTGGACTCCCAGGCTGTGGTAAAGAGCAAAGATTGAGGGTCTGGCGGGTGACTTGTTAGTTAATGTGACAGTGGGTGTCTGTTTCCAAAAGGTCTTTGGCTGAACAAAGTCCCTTATCTCCCGCCCCCACTTAATTCACCATTTCTTCTAACTATATACTTAATCTTGGGAGTCAGAGTGGTTATGAGGGAAGAAACAGTTAAGATATGCATTAAACTTGCAGTCATCTAAGATTCAAGGTGATTACAAGTAGACTGACGGGCTGGTTCAGGTGCTTGGAACAGGCTTCAGTGGATGATGTCTCCATTTGGGGAGAAGCCCCAAAGAGCATCAGAAGGGTTCTGGGACCTGTTCTGTTTCCTTAGTCCTCTGACTATGGATTCTAGAAAGAGCTTGAGGCATCAACTATGCACCATAGAAATCTCTCCCTTGAATATCCCACTTGCAAGGCAACTTACTCAGTTCAGTGAGAATGGGGATCCTCTTGTATATTTTTTGGCCATATTTATTGAAGGTAGATGCAGCCCTTGTGTCTACGGACAATAAAGAGATGACAAGAACAAACAAACAGCTCATAAAACTTGGCTGGAAATACAGTAACATTACACGACCCAATGTCTTAGCTCAGCAAAGTTACTTTCTGGTCCATAACTCAAGTTTTTAGAAGAAAAAAATCTATTATACTTGTCCCTTGATATCTATGGGGAGTGGAGTCCCTGTAAGTTCCAATCCTCAGAAGCTCAAGCTCTTTCTCGGAAAATGTCAGTTAGTTGTGTATCGCTGATGCACACCTCTCAAACACCTTACCTTACCTCAGATGACTGATAATACCTAGCACATTGTAAATGACTACAATAATGTTTACAGAACAATGATGTAAGGTCTATAAATGTTTAGATGTCTAATAGAGATGCATTTCCCCTGGAATACCATCTGCCTGTGGTTGGGAATGAATCCACAGATGCAGAACCCACAGTACAGAGGGTTGACTGTATTTAGTCTCTTCTCTTGGATGGTAAATGGTGCTTGTTTGGGTGTGCACGCACACATGTGTGTACGTGTGCATGTGTCGCAAAGGTCTCCAAGTAGTAAGGTGTTAGTGTTTTGAGTAATAGCTGAGCTGCATTAATATATTCATAGCACTTCTAGGAAACTACTAATGAGTTGATGTTGCTGCTTCACGCATGCTTCTGGAGACCCTCAATGGGCGTCTGGCCCCTAATACTCTCTGCCACTTCAAGGTCCTCTAGAGGATATGGCTTGTATCTTCTTTCCGCTCCTCAGAGCTGAGCGGCACCCCACTCTGAGAACCTTGGGAGTCTGTAAAGAGCAGTCTTTGATGTGGAGGAGGTGACAATCAGAGGCCGTCTAGGTTTGCCAGCTTTGCTTTGCAGTGTGGCCCGGCAGTAATCAGCATGGCTGGAAACCCTTCATGCTTCCCATACACATGTCCAAGAGGTGCCTCTATGGATCCTTAGGCAAGTCCTCGGTCTCAGTACTGTGACCTTTAGTGTGGGGCTGCCCGGTGTGCTGAAAGCTGTTTAACAGACAGCTTGTGTGACCTTACCAAGAGATGGCAGCATCTTTCCAGTTGTGACAACCAAAACTGTCACCACTGATCCTGGGAAACATAAAGAAGACCGTCCACCATCAATTGGTGCGTCGTGGGCCAACCTCCAGCCCTGATATAGAATCTAATACAGCAGAGAAAATTGGAATCTTTTTGCTGAATTAATAAAATGTGGAAAATCACTATATATATATGTACATATATATGTATATATATGTATATAAACAACATTTGGCTGAGTGTGATGGACACACCTTTAGCCTCAGCACTCAGGAGGCAGTGTCAGCTAGATCTCTGTGAGTTCAAGACCACCCTACTCTACATAGTGTGTTCCAGGACACAATGAGACCCTGTCCCCCCCAAAAAAATAGAATCAATTTTTAAAGTCTTCCTATCCTATAAAGAAAGTTAAGGTTGCTCAGGGGGGATTTAATTAACTTCCTTACCCCACCCCCCCAAGGCTCGCCCCCTCAGGAGTTGTTCTGACCTGGCACTGAAGACACCTGGGTAGGGTAGCTGACCCGAAAGGACTGGATGTTGAGGGTGGCCATGATAGTCTCAGTGTCCACCAGAATCTGGCTGCTCAGTGCCTTGGACGGGGAGGCTAAGATGGCGCACATAGAGCACTGCTCTATGTTGACTGCATGCAGATCGCCAGTGTAGAGTGCAGAGCCCTGAGGAGAGAGTTCCACGTTGTGACGGGATCCTCACACGGGCGGGCCTGAGATCACAGTTCATGGTGGTGCTCTTTGTGGGTGACGCAGGGTTTTAGCTAAAGCCTCTACTGACTTGACTAAAACTTCGTTATCAGTTGTCCAACACCCTGTCCTGATTAATAGTTAATGTCTTACTATGCACTGACTTCACAGACCCCTCCTCAGAGGACAAATTTGGATGAGACAAAAGGAAGTGATGGGGAGCAAAAAATCCATTTTGACAACTAAAGAGAAAAGAAAGCAAAAGGTGACCATGGTGATGAAAATGTCAGAGAAAGGAAGCATCATGGAGCTAGAGGTTAATTCTATGTCTCTCACCCTTGCTAGCAGGCCACCCATCCCACTTGTATTCTCCAAATAACTGGTAATACAGCCTCACCTTTGGGAAGCTTGGGGTTTGTCCTAGTTGGCATTTCTATTGCTGTGATGAAGAACCATTACCAAAAGCAACTTGAGGAGGAAAAGGTTTAATTCAGCTTATACGTACACATCACAGCTCGTCACAGAAGGAAGTCAAGGCAGAGCAGAAACCCAGAGGCAGGAACTGCAGCAGAGGCCATGGAGGACTGCTTCTTACCGGCTTACTCCCCAGGGCTTGCGCAAATCTGCTTTTTTCAGCCCAGGGTGGTACCACCCACAGTGACTTGGGCCCTACTATATCAATTATCAACCAAAAAATGTACCACAGGCCAATCTGGTGGGGCTATGACTTTCCAAATGACTCTAGCTTGTGTCAAGTTGACATAAAACTAGCCACCACAAGTGGTCCCTTGTCAGTTTGACACACAGACACATCATTTTTAATCCATAACCTTTCCTTTCTTGTTGATCTCCAAAATCTCAATATTAATATAAGAGCATAAAACATAAATACTTTTAAAGTCCCACAGTATTTAAAAATTCAGTCTCTTTTTAAAAAACATCTATAGTTTCTATCAATGTTCAAAGCCTCTTCAAAATATACAGAGTCTTTCTGAATTATCAAAGTTTCTTAACCATGGATCCTATGACATAAAAAATAATTTAAATACTTTCTTACTCCAAAAAGAATTGGGACATAGAATCAAATCAAAGTAAAATAAAGTCCAACAGTATACAGTTCAGTCTCAGACTTCTGGGATTCAGTCACAATCTTCTAGGCTCCAAAGTGCTTGCAAGAGGTACATAGTTCATCTCATAGGCTCAGCCCAGCTCCACTCCCCAGCTGCTCTTGTACTTGGTGGTCACCCAGGTAATGGAATCTTCACTCTGGGACCTCCTGCAGCAACTGGGCTGCACTTCTGCCAAGAATCTCTCACAGGCTCAGCTTTCTCTCTGACCCCTTCAGTCCTGAGACTTCTGCTTCAACTGAGGCTTTACCTCACCAGTGGACTCTCCTGACCTCTCGCAATGTCAAGTCTCACCTGCTCTCCATGACTCCATGAGGCCTCCAAACCAGTGCCATGAAGGAGATTTTTACACATTACCAAGTTCAGCTGCCAGTATAAGGCACAGCCTTGACCTCCTCAGGACCAGTTTCTATGTGCTGAGCCTAAGGAAGTCCTCCCAGTCTTAGGATCCTCAGTGATGCTGGTCTCTTCTTAACCACACTTATTTCTCATCTCCAGCAAATCAGCATCAATTGTCCTAATAAAGCAAAGGTCTCACCTTAGTGGTTCTAGTCTTTTCCTAACCACAGCTCATTCTTCAGCCCCACCTGACCAGAAGCACAGATTCTTAAAGCTCCGAGTACTAAACAGCGCTCACTGAGTCTTTAATGGACTCTCCACAGTCCTTCTGAAACTCCACAAGCCTCCCTTGTCTGCACTGCTCTCAGTTATCTTCAAAGTTCAAACAACAACTCATTAAGCTCTCAACGCTCAATGGCTTCTCCAGCCCAAAGCTGCAAGGCCCTTCCATAATCCTATCCAAAACCTGGTCAGGTCTGTCACAAAAATACCCTGTGGAAGGGTTTGACATGGAGCATTCCCAACAGCAGTTAAGACTGGGGACTTCCGAGCATCTTCTCTCCTGCCGTGTTGAGTGAAGCAGGGAGGAGGAGACACGGAGGACTTCATGGTGGCTTTTTTAGAACTGCAACTTCAATTTGCTTTTTAGAGAATCAGTAGTTCTTATACACTGCCAGTATTATTTCATTAAATATTCAAATGCTTTGGTACAGTTCACAGTGCATATAATGGACTTCTCATCCGGGAAAATGGTAGCATAACTTAGAGTATAAACCTATGAAAGCTAAATGTAAATAAGACATCAGCTAGAATGCAGCACAGAACTAAGGTTCTGTGTTAGCCTGTTCTGCTTCTGTAACAGAATGCCACAGACTGGGTAATTTACGAAGAAAAGAAATTCGTTTCCCATAATTCTGCAGTCTTGGAAATCCAAGAGTGAAGGGTCATGTTTTATGAAGGCCTTCCTGCTGCATTTTAGTGCGGCGGGGGGATGGGGACACACTGGATAGAGCAGGAAGCCAACTTCCCTTCCATCAGGAACCCACTCCCAGAGAGGCTAGTCCCATTCTCAGGGCAGCAGCATTAACACATTCACGGGAGCAGAGTCCCCATGCCTGATCACTCCTCTCAGCACAGTCACAACGGAAAGTCGGCATTCCAACAACAGGTCCATTTCAGCAGGGCAGATGGAGCCCCTCCTCTCCATATCCTTCTTGTGAGGGTCCACGTGTGGCTGTGTGTTCCATGGAAGATGTGATCAGAAAAGACGAGAAAGTCAGAGCCCAAAGGTCCAGCCAGCACCAGCTTAGGTTTAACCAGTAAGGGAGAAGCAGACTGGGAAACAGAGAAAAATTCTCATTTGTGCACAGTCCATAAAACATGCTGGTCTGAACACAAACTCAGGAGCCTTAATGTCTGGATTTAAATCTACTCTTTCCACTCACTTGTTCTGTGATCTTAGACAACCTACCTACTTGGGAGCCTACTATTCCCACACCTAAGGTTTGGCATTTTTACAGTCTACCCCATATGATTATTTAGAGGAGTAAATAAAATGATACAGGCAAACTGTTTAGCTAATATCTGTCACACAGCAGGTGCCACATAACTGGAAACTATAAATATCATTACTATTGTTACAAATCTAGTACTACATCATTATCCTCGTGTAATGCTTACAGGCATGATATATATCTGGGGAAAGTTCCGGAGAAATCGCCATTCTCTCTGGAAGTATTCCAGAGCCCCGATAAACACAATGTCCTTCAGCTCCCGCCGGGTATAGTTGCTGGCTCTCAGAGGCATCACAAAGTTCTGAAGCCCCACCAGGGCTGAGTGGGCATCTCCAAACACGCATGCTATAATGTGGTTCCGAAACTCATGTTTTGGCTTGTCAGTTCGTTTCTAAGGAGACACATGCCAGACTCAGGTCAGTTTCACAAATAGCTAAGAGTTCTGAGATGAGGCCCACCTCCTTCCCCTCCTGACTCCCTAGGTATCTCCAGAGCAGTACTTTTATAGGCTAATACAGTCTTTCAACTGCTTATACAAAAATGGAACCTACATATAGTTGGTACAGATATATATATATATATATATATATATATATATAGAGAGAGAGAGAGAGAGAGAGAGAGAGAGAGATTGTGTTGAGATAGGATCTCATGGTGTAGCCTTGCCTGACCTAGAATCATTATATGGACCAAGCTGGCCTCCAATTCACAGAGACCCAACTGTCACTCTTTTAAGTGCTGGGGTTAAAGGTGTGCACCACTACACCCCACCTAAAGACTTGAGAATTCTGAAGGGGGACACTGGAATACTGGTAGAGACTGTTACGTGTATTTAAATTTCATATGAGTGAGCTCTACAGCATATACATTGTGTGTGTGTGTGTGTGTGTGTGTATGAATTAGACTATTTCAAATGGGCATATGTAATAACAAGAATTAACACCTGACACAGCTGCTTATTTGATGAAATCATCGGGGAAGACTCTCTGCAGGGATTGCCTGCTGCAAGATAGAAAACTACTTTTCTCCAGCTGCCTAGAGACGGACACGCATGCTAACTAAATCATTAAATGCTTGCCTGTTTAATCTGGTCAATTTTAACTCGAAGCCTCTAAGTAAAGCTCATGCACCATCTCTAAAGTCTAATAGTTGCTCGGCTGAGATGAACTGAACACTTAGAAACAGTATCCATGGCAGACTGCATCTGTGAACACAGCTAGGGAAGGCAGTTCCTCCAACCAACTCTGGTAAAGCCTGCCTCTCAGTTAAGAGAGATGGTGGCTTGGCAGAGTGCCCTTTGTTCAGAGTAGAGCAAAGTGAGCATCCTCCTGCAAGCAGAACCAAGTTCAAAGGTTCTGAGTTTCTGAAATCTGCACTTTTCATTCCTGGGGACTTGGCACTCAGTCTGAACTACATACATCCTACAACCAGTATTTTAAGGGAAGTACGAAGATTTGTTTGTATGCTTAACTAACACAATCTAACAAAATCCTCTCTCCAACTGCCTTCCCTGCCTCTCTTGAGTGTGTCAGTCTGGGTCCAGCTGTTCTTAAGATCTGCTTTGGGCTGAAAACACACATGGCTCCCTGCTCAGTGGATATTTACCTGGCATGGGTAGAAATCCTGAAACAGTTGTTTATAAGCTGATATGTCTCCTAGCTGATATACCAGCTCTGTGAAATTAATGATGCTGGTCAAAAGAGTAGCCGTGTTTTATAAATATTGGAACATGTTCTGTCAGGATACTGGCATTGAACAACAAAGGTGGGACCTAGAAGGAATGGTTTGTGTACTAAAATGCTTTTGAAAACCTAGAAAATATCTGTAATTATTAAATGGTCATAGATGGGGAAATTTTCCGCTTGAGAGCCCAGGGAGGGACAGAACTATAACGTCTACAAGGCTTGGCTAACAGATACCTTTTTTAGTTAATTGTTAAATGTAAGCATAGGAAAGTACATTTTAACCAATAAATTAGGGACACTTTTATTTTAAAACAAAAGAATGCAGAGTTCTTGTAGATCATTTATCTGGCAGCTTTAGGTTTGCTAGGTCTCTGGAAAGCGTTGTTGAGAAGAATTATTGGATAAGCTGCTCAGAAGTGGAACCCATAGGTGATGCCACCTGCATTTTAAACCCCACACGTTGCCCACAGTCTTTGTTACAGGCCACATGGCTCGTGGCCTGTGACTTGTGTGGCTAATGTATCTTTCGTTCCAAACTCATGGGCTATAGAGGAGCTAGTTCTTCTAGTGACTCACAGGTCACCCCTCACCCTGGTGTGGTCACCTACCAGAACCACCTTGTCCAAGGGCATTGACTTGCACCAGTGAAACAAGCCACTGCTGTCCAGCTGCTCAGCGTCATCCACTGTGTCATTTGTCATGTTCCTGAGCAGAGAGAATGGAGAGTCAGTCTGAGAAAGTTCAGGGAGCTAACATACCAACACCGAGTTATTTGTTTTCACAGCCACATTAAAGAACGGGAAAGCTAGTGACGCAGAGTGGCTAAAACTACACTTAGGGTTTTTTTGTGGCTCTGGCTTGCCCACAGCAAGACAACCCTTTATCATGGAGATAACCTGGGAAAGAATCCATGAAGGCCCAGTCATGGCTGATCTCATCATGCACCATCACGTGTGGTCTCTCAAGCATGAGCCATGCTTTCTAGCAATTTTCTAGCAGGAATGTAACCATGGTGCATGCAGTCATACACATGCATGCATAATACCAAAAGCCAAGAACGTCTCTTGAGAGATCAGGGATGTGATTTCTCACAACACTTTGGTTGGAATGGCTATCTGATGCACAGAGGCACCACGTTCCCCCTGGCCTTGTCCACATCACATTCTTCCCACCTCTTCAAGCTCCTCCTCTCACACGAGGCTTTCTGGAGAAGTCTGTGCGGTGTCACCTCTTCCTATGTCTTTTCTGCTGCACCCTTCAGTGAGCACCTGAAGGGATGCTTCCTCACTTGGCTTTGATTTATTCCTGCATCTTGTTTATCCAATGGGGTTGCTGCTTATAGTGTGCTTCCTATATCCAGACACGACACCTACGTAGCACAGAGAGTTCTCTACAAACACCTGTTTACCAACTATCTTTAAAGAGTAAAATACCCACACCCCAATGGTATTCTGTAGCTGTTTGGTTGTTGGAAACAGTGATGCCAAACCTGGATGCCTGAAATGTCCCAGTACCTTTCCTTCATCTAATCCTTGATACTTCCTCACTGATTATGTCATCTGGTTTCAGAAAAAGCCTAGACTAGAAGGCAAGTTCCCACTGCCCTGCATTTCTCTTAGAAGATGGCATCTTTTGGCATCTGAGACATATGAAACCGACCCCACCTTATTATTCATTCAGACTCATTCACATATTTTCCCAAATATAAAACTAATTACAGCCGGGCGGTAGTGGCACACACCTTTAATCCCAGCACTCGGGAGGCAGAGGCAGACGGATCTCTGTGTGTTCGAGGCTGGGCTGGTCCGACAGCCTCCTAAACAATACAGAGAAACCCTGTCTCGTAAAAACCAAAAAAAAAAAAAAAAAAAAAAAAACTAATTACTACAACAGGCTTGATGTCCAACACCAGCCTGGAGAACTTAGCGAGACAATGTCTCAAATGCGTTTCTTTAAAAGGGGCCAGGAATATAGCTAAGTGGTGGAGTGTGCAAGACCCTGGGTTCCATCCCTGGTACCACAAAGGAAAAAATGTTTTGTAACATGTCCTAGTCAGGGACTCTATTGCTGCAACGAAACACCATGACCAAAAAGCAGGAGGAGGGCTGGAGAGATGGCTCAGCGGTTAAGAGCACTGACTGTTCTTCCAGAGGTCCTGAGTTCAATTCCCAGCAACCACATGGTGGCTCACAACCACCTTGAATGAGATCTGGTGCCCTCTACTGGCATGCTGAAGGTTGTATACATAATAAATAAAATATTTTTTTAAAAAAGCAGGAGGAAAGGTTTATTTGCCGTACACTTCAACATTGCTGTTCCTCACTGAAGGAAGTCTGGGCAGGACAGGACAGGATCCTAGAGGAAGGAGCTGAGGCAGAAGCCATGTGGGGAGCTGCTTACTGGCTCACTTCCCAAGCCTTGCTCAGTCTGCTTTCTTGTAGAACCCAGGACCACCAGCCCAGGGATAGAACCACCATGGGCTTGGCCTCCCTCACTGATCACTAAATGAGAGAATGCCTCACAGCTGCATCTCTAGTAGGCATTTCCTCAGCTGAGGCTCCTTCCTCTAATGACTCTAGCTTGTGTCAGGTTGACACAAAACCACCAGTACACAACACTAAGTAACTGAGAATTGTACTTGTGCATTGTTTTCCTGTTACTGTTGTACACTTGGCCAGAACCTCCTTATCTGCCATAGCCCAATGGCTGGTGGATACCTTTCTGCTTCCCATGAGATCTGCTTTGGTGTACGTGAGCATTCATTGCTCTGCCCTTGGCTTCCTGCACCCCACATTCCTTGAGGTACCTCCACTTCCCCCCAAAGGGCAGGATTGCCTTCTTTGTAAAATGTGGAGCTCCCTGGGTGTGGTAGCACACACCTTTAATTGCAGCACTTGGGGGGAGGGGAGCAGGTCTCTATTTGCTCAGGGCTCTGGTCTACATACTGAGTTCCAGGAGAGTCAAATCTACATAGTGAAACCCTGTCTCAAAAAACAAAAACCAAAACCAGCCAAACGAAAATGTGTGAGTCTGTTCTAGTGTGGATACATAGAGGTGAATGTCACACTTTTTTGTCCTTTCTTCTTTTACCACAGGCCCCACAGCTTGCCTATTGTGATGAAAGCTGCAACCAAAGGGTGAGTTTAGGAATCTTTTTAATATACTAATTTCATTCCCTTTAGCTAAATATTCAGAAATTGAATTATTGGATCACTTGTTGTGGTGATTTGAAAGAAAATGGTCCCCAAAGGGAGTGGCACTGTTTGGAGGTGTTGTCTCATTGGTGTAGGTGTGGTCTTGTTGGCAATATGTGTCTCTGTCGGGGAAGCTTTGAGGTCGCTCTTCTCAAGCTTCCCTCAGTGTGACAGTCAGTCAACTTCCTGTTGCCTTCTGGTCCTGCTGCTGTGCTCCCTCTCATGATGATAATGGACTACGGTGTCTATTCACAGCAATTAAAAAAAAAAACTAAGACACGTGTATATTTTATTCTTTGAGAAACTTTCATACTGTTTTATATGAAGGTTATACTAGTGAAGTTCTTGTATAGTTAATGTCATTCAATCATTAAAAAATATCTGCTATGTTGGTCATAGTAGTTTATGCTCCACTGATAATATATTTATCTTTAGGTAATCATAATTCTCAATCTTCCGAGATTATTATTCTTACAAAATTGAAAGATTACCTACATATTACATAGATGTTTTCACTAAAATTAGGAATGATAAATATTTTAGATTGACCTGATTCTTTAGAATTAACTAAGAAAATCATTCTCTACCTTGCTTTCTGGGTAGTAAAAATTTTTGTTGTTGTTTTGTTCTTGAGACAGGGTCTCATGAAGTCAGTATGGCTCACACTCATATAGGCAAGTACTAGGATTACAAGTGAATGCCAACTGGTCCAGTTTTATGTGGTGCTAGAAACCACGCCCAGGTTTTTGTACATGCTAGAGCAATCTACCAACTCAGCTGCATCTTCATCTCCAGGTAGTAACTTAAATATACTGAAGAGCTGGAGAGCAAAAAAAGCTGGGGAGGGAGAATTCGTTGGTCCCATTTTGCAGATTTAAAAACTTAGGCAATCTCAGCTGGGTGTAGTGGCACACACCTTTAACTGCAGCACTCGAGAGGCAGAGGCAGGTGGATCTTTAGAGTTTGAGGTGGGAAAGAGTAAGTGCTATGGGGCCAAAGCAGGGATGGGTGTATTTGGTAAACAGTGATTCCACTGGTCTACAGAGGAGCCAATAAACCAAATGTTTCCATCTAAGTTGAGTTTCTAAAGCTGAGTGATGTAGGAGGCTGCCATCCTGTGGTTCTTACCTATTCTTAAGGCTTGTGATGGTGAGCAAGCTCTCATGTTCTTCTGAAATAAGATCCTGATTTTCCGAACTGCAGGCAGATTTACTGTTGCTTTTCATCACCACGATGTCCGGCCCTGCAGGTGCACAACAACCCCAGTGAGTCACATACCATCTGTCACCTCCTTAACAGGGTCTTTTTTATGATTTCCATTGACCGAGTCACTCCCAGGCTCCTGCCTAGGAAGAGTCTGGGAACTCTTAGCTACTGCTACTCTGAAAAGATAGCAAAGTCTTTGGTTTCCATCTATACCAATGCTTCTCAACCTTCATAACTCTGCATGCAACCCTTTAACACAGTTCTTCATGTCGTGCTGACCCCCAACCATAACATTAGTTTTGTTGCTACTTGTAATATTGCTGCTATTACAAATCATAAATATCTAAAATGCAGGCTGATATGCAACCCCCAAGGGGGTCTCGACCACTGCCCTGTAGGATCAGGGTACACAGGCTGCAAATGTACCTGGCATGTGAGAGTAAATACCTCCAAGGCACTTCTGCACCTTCTCATGTCTTCCAAGGGGCAGGGGCTGGGGTTACCTTAGGACCTGGAAACCCTATCCTTCCTGCACATGCCGGTCAGGCTCCAATTCACTGTCGTCTGAAGTCACTAGCTTATATTTGATCTTCCCTTTGCAGGTACTATTGTTACTAATTTAGACTTGATCATCCAAGGGTACGTCTCAAACCCCTTGGGAATTGCTACATATTGAAATAACATAGAAACTAATAATTTTTTCTTACACAATAATGAGAATGAACACACCATGACTTTTAAAGATTTTCATAGGGACAAATGCTGATAGTATACAAGTAATAATTTTCTCACATTTTAGGACAGAAATGGTAAAATGGCTTCATGTTTTTTTTTAAAAAAGATTTATTTATTATATATACAATGTTCAGCCTGCATGTATCCATGCAGGCCAGGAGAGGGCACCAGACTTCATTAAGATGGCTGTGAGCCACCATATGGTTGCTGGGAATTGAACTCAAGACTCTGGAAGAACAGGCAGTGCTCTTAACCCCTGAGCTATCTCTCCAGCCCATGGTTTTATTCTTTCAAGGCAAACTGTTAATATCATGACAGTTTAGTAGAGTTTTCCAGTGAGTTCCTTAAGTAAGATTTCTGTATAAACAATTGTGGAAGTTTGAATAAGAACAGCCCCCATAAATTCATAGATTTGAATGCTTGGTCACCAGGGAGCAGCACTATTAGGATATGTGGCCTTGTTGAATTAGTTGTGACAATGTTGTAAGGAAGTGTGTCACTAGGGGTGGGCTTTGAGGTTTCAAATGTTCAAGACAGGACTGGTGTTACTTTCTCTTTCTGCTGCCTGACAATCCAGGTTGTAAAAATCTCTCTCCAGCATCATGTCTGCCTGCATGCCACCAAGCTTCCCACCATGATGACAATAGACTAAATCTCTGAACTATAAGCCAGCTCTAATTAATTTTCTTTTACATAAGAGTTGCTGTGGCCATGGTGTATCTTCACAGCAATAAAACCCTAACTAAGACAACAATTAAACTTAAAAAAAAAAAAGACATAAATAGATCCCAGACCTGTGAAGACTGAAAGAAATTAATGCTCACCGATCTCATGTAGGTCTACAATAAGAAAGAGCGGGCATAGAACAGAATGATGTTAAAGATGAGCACTTTGCCAGGGAAAAGAGCTCCAGAAATTTAAAGCTGCAGCCAGGGCATGCCAGAAAGGTGGCAACTGTTAGAGAAACCTCCTTGCTCTACATTGAGAAAGCCTTGGAGATAAGACTCATCAAAGGCTCCAAGGTATAAAAATGCTAATTCATTTGAAAGGCCAGAGGGTCTCAACTGGGAATGTCACCAAGGGGGATGCCCTGATCCTGGAGAACCGTGTTTCCCTAGGGCCAGCATACAGAAGCTGATGCAACTGTGGTCCTGCATATGGTACTGGGGTATATATGCAAGATTGAGGAAGTTGTGGTTGCAGAGAGCCACTGGAGTCAGGTCATGTGTAGCAGGCTCAGAGTCCCTGCAAGCATGCCCTGAAAGCCACTGTGTGGTTTGGGGCTGCCCAAAATACCCACTCCTGTCACAATTGCTTGGGATCCTCACATGGAGACTTTCTTGAATCCTGTTACATGTTCTTTGAGGGTTTTTTTTATGTTGTTGTTAAATGCTTATAGATGATTTTCATGTATTTATCTGTCCTTTCATCTACTGGCCAAATGGTAAATATATTCATGATAATTTTTAAACATAATTGCTTCATGTATTGTTTTACATCCTAAGACAGATCTAAATAACAAAACTCATAGCCCTTTCATTTATACATCTTCTAAAACTTACTGATCATTGCTGTTAATGTGTACCTAATTTTAAGATATATGTGTGCATATAGGTAGACATGTATGTATATATAAATATTTTAGGATGAATTCTAACCACTAAAACGTTTTGACTGTCAAATATGAGTTTTTTTCAAGGTTTTTAATCTTGTTAAGCTGAGATAAAATACAATACAAACATTGGGGGCTGAAATAACCAGTGGGGGGAAAGACATGAGGAGTCTGGAGAAACAGAAGGCTCAGTGGTAAGAGTCTGTGCTGGTCTTCAGGGGATCCAGGTTTGGCTCCCAGCACCCACATTGGGCATCTCACAACTACCTGTCACACCAGCTCCCAGGGCATCTGACTCTCCTCTGGCCTTCCACAGGCCCCTGCACACACAAGGCATATACTCATACAGATGCAGACCCATCACATGAATAAGTTAAGACACGTCTAAAAATATTAACTTGTTTAAAGATATACAACGACACCTTAAGATTTACAGGTGAGCCTAATTTACTTCGTTACATTATAAATACAGGGACCAGGTACAACAGGCCCTGCATAAGGGCCTGTGTTCCAGTGCCTAGGGATCGCCTGGGAACTGCACAGAGCTTCCAATCCCAGCAGCAGCCAAACACCCGAGACTCCAGGACTTCTCTCCCATCAACAAGACCAGGAAACTAGCAGATCCAGGGAGACCAGAGGACCAGCTGTTCTGGTGGGACCAGGTAAAACAGACCCTGCATCTGGGCCTGTGTTCCAGTGCCTGGGGATCGCCTGGGAACTGCACAGAACCTCCAATCCCGGTGGGAGCCAAGCACCCCAGATTCCAGTTTCTTCTCCACCCACGGGACCAGAATGAGGACAAGGAATAAAACTACCAGATTATTGGACTTGCTAGCACCCACCAAAAGGGAACTCTGGTCCCCAGACCAGTAAGGGACTCTTTCTGCACCCACTAGAAGAAGAGATGGGAAAGAGACAATACAAAAACATACTCAGCAACAGAAAAACAAATATGACACCACCAGATTCTAGAGACTCCACACCAGCAAGACTCCAACATTCCAATGCAAATGAAGCAGAAGAGAATGACCTTAAAACTACCTTCATGAAAATGACAGAGGCCCTAAAAGAGGGTATAGGAAAATCCCTCAAAGAAATGGAAGAAGAAACAAAGCAAAAAATACAAGAAATGGAAGAAGAAACAAAGCAAAAAAGGCAGGAAATGGAAGAAAAAACAAACCAAAAAATACAAGAACTGGAAGAAAAAGCAAGCCAAAAAATGCAAGAAATGGAAGAAAAAGCAAACCAAAAAAGGCAAGAAATGGAAGAAAAAGCAAACCAAAAAATGCAAGAAATGGAAGAAAAAGCAAACCAAAAAATTCATAAAAGGCAACAAATGGACGAAAAGATAAACCAAAAATTGCAAGAAACAATGCAAACAGTGCAAGGCTTGAAAACTGAAATAGAGACAATAAAAAAAAAACACAATCTGAAGAAAGGCAGGAAATAGAACAGCTGGGCAAACGGTCAGGTAATACCGATACAAGCATTACCAACAGAATACAAGAGATGGAAGAGAGAATCTCAGGTGTTGAAGATACACTAGGAGAAATGGATTCATCAACCAAAGAAAACCTTAAGTCCAACAAATCCTTAACACAAAATATCCAGAAAATATGGGACACCATGAAAAGACCAAACCTAAGAATAAATAGGTATAGAAGGAGAAGAAAACCATCTCAAAAGGGCAGAAAACATATTCAACAAAATCATAGAAAAAAACTTTCCCAACCTTAAGAAAGACATGCCAATGAAGGTACAAGAAGCTTACATAACACCAAATAGAGTGGATCACAAAAAAGTCCCCTCGCCACATAATAATCAAGACTCCAAATATACAGAATAAAGAAAGAATATTAAGAGAAGCTAAGGAAAAAGGCCAAGTAACATATAAAGGCAGACCTATCATAATTACACCTGACTTCTTCATGGAAACTCTGAAAGCCAGAAGGTCCTACCAACACTAAGAGACCATGGATGCCAGCCCAGACTACTATACTCAGCAAAGCTCTCAATCACTATAGATGGAGAAAACAAGATATTCCATGACAAAACTAGATTCAAGCAATACGTATCTACTAACCCAGCCCTACAGAAAGTTTTGGAAGGAAAAATCCAACCCAAGGAAGTTAACTACAACTAGAAAAACATAGGCATTAGAGAATCCCTCTCTACCAACAGCCAAAAGAACAAAGGGGTGAAATTACACACATAATTCCACCACCAACAACCATTCCAAATCAAAGAATAATGAGCAATCAATGGTCATTAATATCCCTCAACATTAATGGCCTTAACTCACCCATAAAAAGACACAGGCTAGCAGAATGGATTCGAAGACAGAACCCATCCTACTGCTGCATACAAGAAACACACCTCACCCTCAAAGACAGACATCGCCTGAGAGTTAAAGGTTGGGAAAAAATTTTGAATCAAATGGACCCAAGAAACAAGCAAGGGTAGCAATCCTAATATCTAATAAATTAGACTTTTAAATAAAATCAATCAAAAGAGATGAAGGAGCTCATTACATACTCATCACAGGTGAAATCCACCAAGATGAAGTGTCTATCCTGAACATCTATGCCCCAAATACAAAGGCATCCACATTCATAAAAGAAACATTACTAAAACTTAAATCACATATAAAGCACCACACACTTATAGTGGGAGATTACAACTCAAGAAAATCAGTAGCCCTACTATATACAGATGATAAAAGGGCTGAGAAAGAAATCAGAGAATCATCACCCTTTACAATTACCACAAGCAACATAAAATACCTTGGGGGTAACGCTAACCAAACAAGTGAAAGACCTGTATCGCAAGAACTTTGGATCTTTAAAGAAAGAAATTAAAGAAGCCCTCAGAAAATGGAAAGATGGCCCATGCTCTTGGATAGGTAGGATCAATGTAGTAAAAATGGCAATCCTGCCAAAAGCAATCTACAGATTCAATGCAATCCCCATTAAAATCCCAGCACAATTGAAAGAACAATAATCAATATTGTATGGAAAAACAAAAGACCCAGGATAGCCAAAACAACCCTGTTCAACAAGGCAACGTCAAAAGGCATCACCATCCCTGACTTCAAGCTATGGTCCTGAAAACAGCTTGGTATTGGCACAAAAATAGACAGGTAGACCAATGGAATTGAATTGAAAACCCGGATATTAACCCACACATGTATGAACATCTGATCTTTGACAAAGAAGCTAAAAATATACAATGGAATAAAGAAAGCATCTTCAACAAATGGTGCTGGCATAACTGGAGGCTGGCATGTAGCAGAATGCGGATCGATCCATGTTTATCGCCATGCAAAAACTTAAGTCCAAATGGATCAAAGACCTCAACATAAATCCAGCCACAATGAACCTCTTAGAAGAGAAAGTGGGTGGTACCCTTGAACGAATTGGTACAGGAGACAGCTTCCTGAACATAACACCAGTAGCACAGGCAGTGAGATCAACAATTAATAAATGGGACCTTCTGAAACCGAGACGCTTCTGTAAGGCAAAGGACACAGTCAGCAAGACAAAAAGGCAGCCCACAGAATGGGAAAAAATATTCACTAACCCCGCATCTGATAGAGGGTTGATCTCCAAAATTTACAAAGAACTCAACAAGCAAGTCTCCAAAACACCAAAGGATCCAATTAAAAAGTGGGCTGCAGAACTAAATAGATAATTTTCAATAGAGAAGTCTAAAATGGCTGAGAGGCACTTGAGAAAGTGCTCAACATCCTTAGCCATCAGGGAAATGCAAATCAAAACAACTCTGAGATACCATCTCACTCCTGTCAGAATGGCTATAATCAAAAACACCAACGACAATTTATGCTGGAGAGGATGTGGTGAAAGGGGAACACTCCTCCATTGATGGTGGGAGTGCCAACTGGTTCAGCCACTTTGGAAATCAGTATGGAGATTCCTCAGAAAAATGGGAATAAACCTACCACAAGACCCAGCAACTCCACTCTTATGCATATATCCAAAAGATGCCCATTCATACAACAAGGATGTCTGTTCCACTATGTTCATAGCTGCATTATTTGTAATAGCCAGAACTTGGAAGCAACCTAGATGCCCCTCAACTGAAGAGTGGATAGAGAAAATGTGGTACATTTACACAATGGAGTACTATTCAGCAGAAAAAAAACAATTGAATCCTGAGATTTGCAGGCAAATGGATGACACTAGAAGAAACCATCCTGAGTGAGGTAACACAAACACAAAAAGAAAAATATGGCATGTACTCTCTCATATATGGATTTTAGACATAGATCTGGGGAGTGCCAGCCTACAATCCCATGGCCAGAGAGTCTGGGAAACAGAACCCTCATTCAGTGGCTGATGGAAGAAGAGGCAGACTCCCACGGCTAAGCACTGAGCTGAACTTAAGAAAGCCAGTAACAAAGAGGGAGGACTGATGACCAAAGGGATTAAGACTGGGCTGGTTTAACCCCCAGAAACAGCTGACCAGACAAAGGTTAACTCTTGAATTCCAGGCATCAGCCTGGGAATCCAAGGGTTAACTCCTGAATCCCAGGCTGATACCTGAGAATTCAGCATGGGACTGATCAAGACCCCCTGAATGTGGGTGTCAGTGAGGAGGCCTAGGTAATCTATTGAGTCTTGGGCAGTATAACAGTATTCATCCCCAGTATACACATGGACTTTGGACTCCCATCCAACAATGTGAGATGCATTCTCACCCTGAACTCTTGTGGGAGGGTCTGGGCCCTGCCCTGGATGAAATAACAGACTGTAGACACCCCATAGAGGGCCATAGAGGACCTGGAACTGACTTTGTGAAGCAACCTTGTTTCTAATCTAAATTTAAACCTAAAAATAAATAAAAAAAGAAAAAAACATTATAAATACAATTTCTCTCACATAATGTTTTTGGGACAACACCCTATCTCTGTGCTTTCAGGTTTAGCATGTTTAACTCGTGACTGGGCACCACCTTCTGTGCGCTGGGCCCTCCCACATCAATCACTAATTGAGACAATGCTCCACAGACCTGTCTACAGGCCAATCTTATGGAGATATTTCTCATCAGTGATTTATGCATCTCTGATGATTCTAGCTTGGGTCAAGTTGACATGAAACTAGCCAGCACATGATGTTTCACTTCATATAAGTTTATTTTGTGTAGACAAAGGTGTCTTGAGAATTGTGTAGGTAAATAAGATGAAGGGAAAACATCAGATTGAAAAAAAAATATGTAGGAGTTTAATCTATAAAATGTATTTTTGCCAGGAAAGTCACATTTGGAATTGATCAAGTTTCTGTTTTAAAATACTGAAATTTTACCCAAAGGCTATGGAGGTATCTGGAAAAGACTAACTTTTAAATTAGAAGAGGCAAACTTATCATGGATCTTTAGGGTTAGTTTTTCTTTTCCTACATTAAATTGGAAAGAGTTGCTAGTGAGGCATTGAGTTCAACTAGACAAAAGAGAGTTACATTCTCATATAACTGTGTCAGAATAAGCTCCCCACTGCCCACAAGGGGAAAAAATGCTCAAAGACAGTCTATGCTCTACGGACTGTCTAGCAGTCTAGCAGTTCATAGGGAGCAGATTTCCAGGCTGAAGTTGGGGAAACTGGCATGCTGTAGGGAAAGCCCAGTAACTGGAAATCGGCATGGCTGATTCCATTTTTTGGCCATGTCACCAATTACTCAATCCTTGGGAGTTCATTCTCTTAGCCTGCAAGGGAGTTGAACTGGGCAACCACAAAGGTGTTGTTGTTGTTTCACAGCTTTAAAAGATCAGTTATCAGGTCTTGGATCCCCAGTGGGAAGCACATGCCTTACTTTGGCCAAGTTAAATGGTCTTTATCTTCTCAGAGATGGAAGCCCCTCCTTGACCAGACCCCCAGAGAATAGGTTAACCACAGAGATGATGGGCAATTACCTGCAAGTTGTTCCTGGCTCCTGTTTTTGCAGCCACATTCTTCGATCAGCTCAGGGGTGTTCACATTACAGTGACAGGAGGAACAATAAAAGAAGGCCCTAGACAATGAGAGGAGATCAAGGGTGACTTCAGTGACAGCTGACACCAGGGAGACACAGTGCCTGTCTCCTAGTAGGTTCTACTTGGTTTAGGGTGTCCTCTCCGTAAACGAAATGCAAAGCGAAGTACCTTTTGGCAACTTGTGAGGATTCGGCAATAAAGAACCCGAGGGTGTCCTTATTCAGCTTCACTTGTGCTGAGGGATTTAGCAAAAGACTACTGGAAATGGAAGGATAAAGACAGTTAAGTTCTCTGCTAACACCTGTAGCAACATTTGGTGTTTCATACTGTCATTAACAAGGGATTCTCTAAGTTGATGTATCAGTAGAATTAAATCTATTTTTCTTCACTGCTAAACACAGTGGTTAAAGTGAATTTGCATACCCTTAATCCTAAATAACACTCAGGGAGGCCGAGGAGAGCTTGACTACTGAGCAGACAGGAAGCTCCTACTTTGTAGCAGTCATGAATCTGAGAAGGATTGGCTAATCCAAGTGCTTGGTGCCTTGTTGCTTTAGGCAAGCATGACAAAGGAGACACTACCATGCAGTGGGCAGCCTTATGGGAATGCTAGTGGTGCCCATGCCTGGACCACCTATCTTTAAAATGAGCTACATCTAATTAGGTCTGGGAAGTAGCTCAGGGAGCAGCACTGGCCCTGCACACTCTGGGCCCACGGTTGGGTCTTTGGAAAAGAAAAACATTCTACATGAACATTCTCTAATAGGAATGTAGGTCAGTGCTAGTCTGCTTCAGCAGCCGGGTCTCTGGAACCACAATAAAATTAAAAAGATGATATTGTCACAGAAGTACAACTAGTTATCAAGGTGGATTCCAACATTCCTTTTCTTTTCCAATGGCTGTGTGCTGGAAAACTGTCATAAATTTTACCCATGGTTTTCCTTGATGTCCGGTCACTGTTTCTGTTTGCCTCGTGGCTCCTGTTATCCAAATATCCTGTCTTTGGTTTCTTTCACTCATACATCCAGGATGGGGAAGCCCTTGACTGTCTAATGCTCTCAGTTCTTTCATTTCTGATCATGTATTCCTTTCTGTCTCTAAATGTTACTGTTTGGCAGGCATGGTGACACTTGCCTTTAATCCCAGCACTTGGGAGGCTGAGGCAGGTAGAGCTCTCTGAGCTAAGGCCCACCTGGTCTGCATAGCAAGTTCCAGGCCAAGCAAGTGAGAGTCTATCTCAAACAATGAAAAAATAAATAAACAGGCAAATTTACTTTGGAATGAAGTTAAGTCCTGATTCTGGCTTATTCTGTTGTCAAGATGGGTCAGAGTACATTGAGAGTGTGAGAGAATCCTTGTGAATAGACATGGACTTCAAAACAAAAGCTTTTTGCTTCTGCCAAGAGGGGCAGAGCACTGTTCTGGTCGATCTTTACCTAAAACAATGTAGGGCAGTTGGTGAATGTTTAATTGAGGATATTAATGAGGGGTGTGGTTGGTTCTGACCCCCAAAAGGAATAAGACGGGTATTTGACAAGCACATGTCTAGTGTGTCTAGGGACTGCTGAACAGCTCCTGTGGGGGGGAACAGAGGATCTCTGAGTTCTTGTTAAACATCTGCTTATCTCTTCTTCACTTTTGGAAAAGGTCAGTGTACATATCTAGTTATAAAGATTTTGTGAGGAAAAAAAGGTATTGGCACAAAATATGTAGGTACTTGGTCTGAACCAAAAGCTGAGAAGTGCCATAACAATAACAATAACATACCTCATTGTACTTGTAAGAACTTACAAACTTATTTTGTCTTTTTGTTTTGTTTTATTTTTGAGGAGGGATCTTGCTATACAGCCCAGCCTGGCCTCAAACTATCAGTGATCCCCCTCCCTCAACCTCCTGGGGGCTAAGGTTGCAAGTCAATACTGTCATATTCAGTTATACATTCATAACTTACCAGCTCTTGAAAAATGCCAGTGGTCTGATAATGTCCCCCTAGCTCCTTCATCTGTTCTACCAACAAAGTCAGACACCCCTCAACAACAGAAACCCCAAATACCCTTGCAGCAATGAAAAGCTTTATCAGTACCAGCAATTGTTAAAGATGGACTTGTGCTGTATGGCGATCAGCATGAGATTCATCTTCACAAAGCAAAGCCTGGGGAGGAAAACAGGGGTTACGAGGGTAGAGACAAGCAGTAGGCTGGGCTACACGGACAGAACCGATCCTTTATGCTCCGTGTAGGCAAGAAAACCAACTACTCAACATAGAAAGCAACTCCTAAATACAGATTTCCACTTGAAATTTAATCCGCCCGACATAAATTTTAGCAAAAGTGCCGCTGGGATGGAGATGGACCTGTCCCACATGTGCTATAAAGTGCTAGGTTCTAGAGCAGCGGTTCTCATCCTATGGGTCATGACTCCTTTGGGGGAGTCAAATATCAGATATCCTGCCTATCAGATTTTTACGTTATGAATCATGAAAGTAGCAAAATTACAGTTATGACGTAACAACAAAAAGAACTTTATGGTTTGGGTGACTGCAAGATGAGGAACTGTATTAAAAGTTGTGGTGTGAGGAAAGTTGAGAACCACTGATCTAGAGGCTCTGACCTAACTGCCCTTCCATCTCCAGAGTTTGTAATGAAGCCTGCCTACAGCAAGCCCTCCATCAGCAGTGTGGGATGAGGGCATTGCACGAAGAATGGGGGAAGGCTTCACATAACATACCGGCAGACCTCAGGAAATGTCATCCCAACGAAGTCATCAGAGAGGCGCTGTGTCACAATTTTGTTCTTCAAGCTATTCAAGAAATATTTTTGCCAGGGATGTTTAGGAAAAACCTATAAAATATAATTATACCATATACAGAGTTACATCTATATAGGTACTTATACATATGCACATAGACATACATTGATGTGTACAGTATATTAATAAGAGAAACTGACGCTATAACATAGGTTGCATAGCCTGCTAAGTACCGAATCAGTTTCCACTTCCCACAGAAAGGAGATACAGCCCAGTGTTCTTGTGGAACAACGTTAAAGGAGGAACTGAAACTCATCTATTTCCAATGGAGTCCATGCTAGTGTGGGCACCTCACTACTCAGCTTCTTCCCAGAAGGCATTGTGAAGGAGAATTCCTGGAAGGAAGCTGTGTCTGCAAAGGCTGGGTGACTAATTAAAACATCAGTGCCTGTGGAGAGTTTGGAAGACTGCAGGTCCAGAGAGCATAATTACAATTTCTTACAATCCCCCGAAAGAACTATGCCTTACCTACCTCTGTCTTACTTAACTTCCTGATAAATTAACAGGAACCTTTGGAATGCTATTCTCCACCAATCAAAGGAAAGGGCTCAGAATGCAATCAGATAGTAGCAGAGGCCTATAGCTGAGATTTCTCTGCCTGGCGTAATCCCCTTTCAGATGTGTCTACCGATGTGTTTTTAAAATGTCTTGACTCATGACTTTTTTTTGTTCTATTACTATGAATACTCATACTCCATAAAACTGCTTCCGTATGGAGACATGGGTAACCTAAATCCGTGTTCCCAAGCTCTAGTCACTCAAATTTGATTCCAAAATAAATTATTTTATTTCCTTTGAAGTAAGAGCATTTTTAAGTTAACCACATCCAAGTTTCCTTGTCAGAATTAGAATTGTTTTCTCTGGCCTACTGCTAATTTTAGCACAGTAGCTTTACTGTTTTATGAGACACTAACAGTAACATGGGAGGGGCAATGTGGAATCTAAGTTGTCATTCTCTGGATATGATAGCTTAGGATTGACTTTGATTAATATTACTTTCAACTGAAAAATTGCATACCACAATAAATAAATAAATAAGTATCTGTGGCTTCTACCACAGGTTTATAGAAATCCAAGATGATGTTGGTCAGGACTGATAGTAATGCAAAACCTAAGGCCAGCTGTAGGTCTCTAGAGAAATGAGAGAGATGAAAGGTGGCTTTTCTGTGGTGCTACAATAGAACCCAGGACCTTGAATGTGCAACACCCTGCTGCTAAGCATCCCCAGCTCTAGAATAAGCATTCTTAACAAGACTGAGTGCCACCTAGGGGAGCTCATTGGAAACTTCTCTTTGGGATTTTTTTTTTTTTTTTGTATAAGACACCTTATCTCCTCACCTGCTTCCATGAGAGCCCTACAGTGCCACATCCACAGAGTAGGACATAAGCCAGAACATAGATGACGATGGAAATTTCTAGATTCTCTAGAGCAACTCTTGCATAACAGTGACCTCAGACACTCTCCTCAAACCATTCTGTGGTTTGAAAACTGCCCTACTAAAATCAGTCACCCATTCCTGATAATTTGTGATTTGAAGTGGTGGGTGGGTATCCAACTTCAGAGACATAAAGACTATGAACCAAATGGCTCTGGCTCCCGGTGTGCTGTTCACCAGCTTACTATACATACAACCTGGTTCATTAAGGCTTCCACCCAGGCTGGGTACTGCCTGGAAACACCACTGAGAAGCAGCATTTATGACCATTATTCCTGTTCCTGAGTGGATCTGCCCTAAAGTAATCTAGAAATTAATTAGATTTTAGGTATTATTTGTATCACTTCTATTTGGTTAATATAATAATTATTATACTAATTATATTTTACTTACATTTAAATACTATTTCTCTGTTAAGACTAAAGCTGTTTAGATTTCTACACTTAATAAATTAAAGTACTTCTGAATTTATGAAAATATCTACATTTACAGTATCCTGGGGTGTAGACAGAAAACAGAGTTACAGCCTCTGTTTTGCAGATTGATGCTGCAAATGTTCTAACCGTGGCTTCTTCGAGGCCTGGGAAACACCCGGAAGGTGAATCCAGATCTTTCCGTCACTCCCCGCCCAAGAGGCAAATCATATTTCTTAGAGACTTCTTGCGTTCCTCAATTTTTTTTCTACTTCGGATTCCATCGTGTGGGACGTAGCCAAGACACAACATGGCTGCACAAAGTTACCTTTTGGTTCTGTTCGATAAACAGGGTCGTGAGAAAGGTGCACAGGCCTGGCACCAAGCAACCCTGGGCGATAAACCCCAGCTTTAGCTCCGCGAAGCAGATGATGTTGTCCCCAGCGCTCCAATTCCAGGTGGGGATCTTAGACAGGAAAACCTGTTTCAGGGTAGAAAGTAAGAATGAAGATGCCACAGGAAACCTCTGCTGGGCACACATCTCCTTTAAATGAGTTTTTCTTCCCTATTGAGAATAAAGGCAGCACCAGGACTAGAACACAGCCTGCATCTGAAAGGGTCGTTTGTTCCAAATGAACAAAAAATGCTCAAGTTGTAAAGATCAGGTCAAACGGCTGGCTGAACTCACTAATTTACTCCCTTGTTTGGTCCCTAAGTGGTCCACCCATTTAAAGAGACTCCAAATGTCATCTATTACTGATTTTTTTTTAAATTTGTAGATCTCTAAGGAGACCTGAAGATGAGAAAACCAAATGCACTCAACTACCATGATACCTTGTTGTGGGACTGAAGGATCTGAATGATGACTCTGACCTGGGAATTATAGTTCTTGATAGAAAGCACCCTGAAAAAAAAATCACAATGTGCTCAAAAGTCATATTGGCTTTGTAATATAATCAATTTAGAGCCAGATTTATTTGTGGATAAGTGAGGGACTCCTTGCATTACAAAATTCGTTGCTTGCCTGTTTCTACATTCTGTGTTGATACTTTTCTCTTTTTAAAGATTTTTTTTATTTTTATTTTTGTGTGTATGAGTGCTCCCTCACTCATATGTGGGCATGCTCCAAGGACAGAAGAAGGCATCATTGTCCCTGGAACAGGAGTTGCAGGAGCTGAACCTAGTCCTGCGAAAGTGCAGTGAGTGCTCCTAACTGCTGAGCCACCTCTCGAACCTCTGCATTGTTTTCTGAAAAGTGCTTACAAGGACATCCCCGGTGACACAACCTGCCAAGCCTATGGGAAGGCCAGGTTTTAGTATTTGAAAATGAACCCATTGACAAGGAAGAAAACAGTTTCACATGTCTTAGCCTTGACCTCATAGCTCAAAGTGGCTAATAGAATGTCTCATTTCATAGGTTAAGAGCCTAAATTATATCTTCTACTCAAGGTAGCATACATGATGTAATTTCTCAACTATTTCTCATTCTACATAGGGTCATCTTCAATCAAACATATTTATTTTGCTCTAGGAACAGAGCCACCCAAATCATATTTTGAGTTTCTGTCACCACAAGGAAAGTTTCTGCTCATAGATACCTAATAGCTAAAGTTGGGAACACCACCTCCTTTCGCCTTAAAAACACTTTCCAGGGAGCACAGACACATCACACTCAACCATGTGTACTCTTTTCCTAGAACTGCCAAAGAGAAATTCCAATAAAGAATACAACTAGAATTTGTGGAATATTCCTCTACACTGTGCGAATATATGTTACTGTGATTGGGTTACTAAAGAAGCTGACTGGCCAATAGCTGGACAGGTAGAGGTTAAGTGGGACTTGAAGACCAAAAGAGAGCACCAAAAGGAAGAGGAGGAGTATCAGAAATGCAAGGAGACATAGAGAAGGAGATGAACTTGCTGTACTGCAAAAAGGTACCAAGTCACATGACAAAGCACAGATAAGAAATAAGGGTTCATTTAAAATGCAAGAGTTAGTAACAAGCCTGAGCTATTGGCTGAGCATTTACAATTACAAATAAGTTTCTGTGTGCTTATTTGGGAACTGGCTGGCAGGAAAGGAAAGTCTGACTACAAAGATTCACAAATGGCATCTCTGTTTTTGAACGGAGGAGGATCTTACTCATAATAACACTATCTAAATACCAACCTGGAGTTACAGCTGGGAATGTAGCTCAAGTGGTAGAGTTAACACATGATATCCTAGGTTTGATCCTTACCACCATAAAAAGGGGGAGAGGGTGTTCATATCTTTCTTTTAAAATGTATATAGCTCTTATCAATAGGAAATTGGGGAGTAAATATGGAGAAAGTCATACACAATGAAGATGTTCTAGTTTCACTTCCCTTTGCATTCATTGTTTTGGGGTTGCATGTGAGAAAAAAAAACAGGCAGAAACCTGGCATATGATGAACCTAGTGAATTAGAGATGACATCTCCCCTCATTTAGTCTTACGTGATAAGCTTTGTTTTAGTGTTTAGCGAAGAATACCATTAATGGAGCATGCAAGAACAAAACAGAGCAACACCAACTTCTCACCTCATGATGTTGGAGTTGTCCTCAGCATGTGAGTCACTGCACAAAGGGTTGGCTAGAATCAGGCAAGCTTCTGCAGACTCCACCTGTTCTTCAGATTAAACAGCAGCCATCAGGTTAATGACAAGGGGAATACTCTAGCGCTCCCTCTTTGAGGCTTTCTTATGGTTTCATCAAACTATCACCAACAAGAAGAGCACATGTAGGAAAAAGTCATGGACCAGACGCCTCCATATCAAGACAGCAGCCCTGCAAACGCTGCCAGAGCTCCGAGAGCTGCAGCTGATGGACCATGGCACAGGGTCTCTTACAGAAACTAAAAGTTGCTTTACAATGGGTACAGTTTCAAGTTGCACATTCCTGTACTGTATATCATCCTTACTTATGTCTGCCGATGTGCAATAAGACATTTTTCAGCAATTTCCAGTACATTTATCCACCTTAAGGACACCGAACAATGGGAGAATTGGGAATATAGTTGTCTACAATGAAGAGCCACTGGATATTGGGGTTCTGAATCTTAAAGTGCCAGAAAAATATCACTCTTACAATAACAAATTGTAGGGCAAAAAAAAAAAAGACTATGCTGAGTCAGTCATTTTCTGCTTGAGAGTCTACATTAGCTCTCTAGACCAGTGGTTCTCAATTCTTCCCACTGCTGCAACCCTTTAATACAACTCGTGTTGTATTGGAACTGGAGACCTTACTGAACCTCAAACTATACAATTATTTCCATTGCTCTTTCATAACTGTAATTTTGCTACTGTTATGAATCATAATGTAAATATCTGTGTTTTCCAATGGTCTTAGGTAACCCTTGCAAAAGGGTCATTTGACCCCCCCAAAGTGGTTGTGACCCACAGGTGGAGAACCGCTGCTATAGACTTTTGCTTTAAACTGAAATATTCAGGTTTGTTACTTAGATACTAGGAAGCCAGTTTTGATCTAATAGCAAACTTTATTATTTACTTGGCCATTGTTTTTTATTTTTAGCCTTGGCCTTGCTGGTATTTCTACTATTTTTCTTAATGTTTATATTGCCAAAGGCATACCAATATTTAAGAAGGGAAACTGATGAGGACCAATGAATCCATGGTTAAGACCATATTCAGTCATGCAGCCTGCTGGGGGAGAAAAGCCATCAATAGAAGTCTTAATCTTGCAAGCTACAATAGTAACTAGCCTAGCAAACTATGCCCATGGATGTAACAGTGGCATAAATGCTATATAGGACTAATCAACTCTGGTTGGATTTAGGGTCTGGGAGTATAAAGAAACTTGGATCTGGTAATGTAAACCCAAACCCGTGGCTGGGAAGCTCATGAGGAGTATCTGCTAATATTACTTTGATAAATGGGCATGCTTCTAAATACATTGTCTCTATATCCATAGGTAAGTGTAACTTCTCACTAGAGAAGCTTCTTTATGTAGTGGACAGCAGTCAATACAGAGACTAACAATTAGTCAAAGTGCAGAGATTAAGTGTCTGTTAAGTGATTAGCCACAAAGTGAACATCTGTATCACATCCTTTCCTTCCAAGGTTCAGAGAACATAGCCAAATTGTGTGGTGGAAAGATTCTTAGAGCCAACGTTGAAAGTTTGGGGACAAAACAGTGTATTATGGACATAACAGGACTGTTGCACCTATGAACTCACAGTAGCTTTGCTTGCTTGAGTAAGACCTGTACAAGCTATCAATATTCCCATATGGACTGAGGAGGGGCATACAAACCAATAGTTGAGGAGCTGTTGACAGTAATGGCTACTAAGGAGGGAGTCAGTTTTCCTTAGGAGTATGGTTCCTGGTAGGTTGACCATGCTCCAATAAGGAGCCTCACACCCATGACCCATGTGTATATGGGCATCACTAATCAGACTCACTGGGTTACAAAAAACAAAACAAGAGCCAGAAAGACAGACAGACAGACAGACAGAGAAATATCAAGTTAGATGAGGATTATGAGGGAATTCAGAAGGAGCTGGATGGGGAGAGAAGTGAATATAAGTAAAACAAATGGTATGAATATACAAAATTCTCAAGGAAAAAATAAAAATAAAGGGTGGAGGAAGATTTCATCATATACTGTACAAATAAATGTTTTTAATTAAATATTTTTAAAAGTAAAACACATAAATGAACATACATTTTTATTATCTATAACTTTTTCTAAACCTCTAAAGTAATATAATAAAATCTCATAGAGAATTTTATGGAAGAAAACATTTTTAAATAATATAGATCAACATGGAAGTCAACTTGCTATGAGTCAAGGATTTGGAAGCCAGTTATTATACTATATTTCTGATCAGTGTTTAAAATTATGGAAGTTTTGTTTTCCTCCAGTCAAAGGACTTGGACTAGCTTCTGATACAGCAACACAACCTATTGTTTTCACTCCCAGCTTAGGGAAGGAACATACAGAGAAAGAGTTAGATCTTACTGCAACTCGCTTCAGATCCTCAAACTTCAGTGCGGAGCCGCATACAAACGTCGTGCAGAAAAAGTAGCACTTCAGTAAGGTCTCCAGTTCCAAGGATGGAGGAGCCCTAGATGAAAGAGTCCAATGGCAAAGACAGAAACCCAAAGCTTGGTTCTGCTTGGTGGTTGTTAGCTGACTTAGTGCATTTACTAAACCCCTAATTCCATCAGAGACTGTCTGTATTGTGCTGTACATCTATATGGCTAGAGGATATTGGCACAACTAACCTAATCCACAAATGGGCGTATAAATCAGGCCTCAGCAATCCTAATGACACAAAACCAAAACAATACAGAAACCATGAATCAAATAATGCCATGCAAAAATCAATAACTATGCAACAAAAACATTTCAATCACTCAGAGAGATATAACATTTCAGGGCTGAAAAGATTGTAGAATTAGAGAATCGATCGCTGTTAGGGAGGACTGGATTTCAATGCCTAGGACCTACACAAGGTGGCTCACAACTACCTGTGAAACCCAGCTCCAAGTGAGCCAACATCCTTCTCTGGCCTCCACAGGCGCCTACACTCAAGTGTACATATCCACAAACATATACACAGAATTTAAAATAAAATCTTTTTTTGTTTTGCTTTTGGTTTTTCAAGACATGGTTTTTTTTCTCTGTAGCTTTGAAGGCTGTCACGGAACTTACTCTGTAGACCAGGCTGGCCTCGAACTCACAGAGACCTGCCTGCCTCTGCTTCCCGTGTGCAGTGATTAAATGTGTGCGCCACCAATGCCCGGCCTTGAAATAAAGTCTTAAATATGAAAAGATATAGCATTTGCAGGCATTATTTAACAAAATGGCTTCTAAATATATAAAGTGAATACAGACAGAATGTGAGAATTGATCCTGTCACTGGCCTGAACAATTTCAACACACCTGCAAATGATAATTAGCAAGTATTTTAAACATGGATTTATTTAGTACTCATTGATTCTTTAGTCAACACTTAGAAAACCTAATTTCTTTGAAGAGGGCAAAAATATTTAGTAAAATAGTAATTTACCTCTCCAAAAAAAAAAACTCATGTTGCAAAAAATAGATACAGTGCTAGGATCAAAGGCATGCGTCTACATGCCTAGCTCAAGGCATTAATTTTAAGTCTCTTAGTGAAGGGGGGCAGGATAAATCTGATCTGACTATAAAACTCAACAGCATTCTGAAAGAAGACCTAACTCTAATCCTTCAAGAATTACTCAGAAAATAGAAAATTGGTTTCCAAATTTATTTTTTGAAGCCAGTATTACACTGATTAGCAAAATCACAACAAAAAATTATCTTCCTGGTGGAACAAGAAACAAAAATTCTCGATAAAATGTTCGCAAACCTAATTCAAGAATACATCAAAAAAGATCACTCACCATGATCAAGTTGACTTCATTGCAGGGATGTAGGAATCGTTCAACATATATAAATCAATTTTCTTACATCAATGGGCTCAATTGAAGAAATCATATAATTTGACAAAACCCAATATCCTTTCATGATACAAGTCCTGGGGAGATTAGGGATTGGGCCTTGTCTCAACATAACAAAAGCTAGATACAATACAACTATAGCCAACATCTCACTAACACCAAAAACCTACAGCCAACCTCATGCTAATTACAGAAATGCCCAGAGCATTATCACTAAAATCAGACAATGCCCACTCTTCCACTCCTACCTAAAGTCTCAGCTAGACCAAGAAGACAGAAGAGGAACTAAAAGGAGTACAATCAGAAGTCAAATAATCCCAGTTTGCAGATGATATTATGGTGTACTTATGAGTCCCTAAAGACCCCACCAGAAAACCCCAAACTGATGAACCCTTTCAGTAACGTGTCAAGGCACAAAATTTCACACATACACACACACACACACACACACACACACACAGAGTAGCCTTTCTATATGTCAATGACAAATACACTAAACAAGAAATCAGAGAAACAACCCCATTTCACAATATCCTCCAAAACAAACAAACAAACAAACCAAAAAGGTTGGCATAAACTTGACCAAGGACAGCAAAGATTACTACAAGAACAATTTTAAAGCCCTGAAGAAGAAAACTGAGGAAGAAACCAAATCCATGTTCCTGGGTTTGAAGAATTATGATTTCAAAAATGACTATTTTAGGCCAGGTGTGGTGGCGCACACCTTTAGTCCTAGCACTTTGGAGACAGTGGCAGGCAGATCTCTGAGATAAAGGCCAGCCTGGACTACAGTGAGTTCCAGGACGTGAGAGAAACCCATCGCAACAAAACAAATATCAACAAATAAAACGGCTATCCCACCAAAAGCATTTACAGATTCAATATTATCTCATTCAAAATTCCAGCACCATTCTCCACGGGGCAAAAGAAAGGACTCTTAGATTTCTTATGAAAACACAAAGACTCTAGATTACCAAAGCAATCTTGAACAAAAATAATAATGAAGGAAGTTCCACTGTGTGTGATTTCAAGTTATACTATAGAGCTATAGCAATAAAAACACTGATACACAGGTGTGGACTACCTCTCTGAGTCATTGATCAAAAGTTCCCCATTGAAGTATACAGACAAACGCCATTGCTCTTGGTTACTCACTAGAACGGAAGGTAAGACCCTACTGCTGAAGACACCACACACCTGAGTCGTGAGACACGGACAAATCAAACCAGTCCTGACCTGGAAGCTTCATTCCTACTGCTAGCTTTCATAGTACCTAAGAGTCCAATAATTGAGTCACTTAAATAATGTCAGTAGATATGTACAAAAGCATCTGGAGAGATAGATTCCAAAGTTTTTGTAGTGGTTAGGTCTGAACATGAAGTTACTTTTCTTTTTCTACACTTGATCTTAAAGTAATTCTTTTTCTATTTTGTTTACTATTGTTTCCTAAAATTTCTATAAATGTTACAAGTGTAATTTTCTTCCATTAAAAACTAAATGCATATTTTAAGCCGGGCATTGGTGGCACACACCTTTAATCCCAGCACTTGGGAGGCAGAGGCAGGCGGATCTCTGTGAGTTTGAAGCCAGCCTGGCCTATAGAGTGCGTTCCAGGACAGGTTCCAAAACACTACAGAGAAACCCTGTCTTGAAAAAACAAAAACAAAAATCAAACAAACAAAACCGAAAAAGCTAAATTTAATGTTTTAAATATTCATTTAGAACCCATTGAGCCATATTGATGTGCTTACTCTCCAAGGAACACAACCTCAGTGTTGATTACTCCTGACTTATGGCGGAGAAAGTTCCTCAGAAAGGCAGTCACACTGTCAATCGTGATGTTTCCACAGACCACGATGAACCTAGGCAGCAGGACAGGGGAAGAGGTGCATCTGAGGAACAAAGGGACTTCTCTCCCATGGTATCTGAGGCAATGGACTCCAAGAGTCACCCCCACCCCCACAAGTAATCAAAACCTAGATGCTCAATGTCCTCATTTAAAATGGTATGAACTTGTGTGTGCCTACACACATCCCCAGCCTACTTTAAGTCATCTCAAGGTTGCTTGTAAAGTCTAATACAATGTAAATATTATGTGAGTAATTGCCACAGTGTTGTTCTTGGAATAATGACAAGGAAAACAGTCTACACAAATTCAGTAATGATGCAAATTGTTTTTTAATATTTTCTATCTGAGGCTGGTTGAACTCTCAAAATCCAATAGCTCTGACTGCATCTTCCTGTCAAACTTATAGAAGGGCAATTAGCTCAAACTTGTTTTCAGTAAGTATTGTCTAGGAATCCTTTCTTTAGATTCCAGCAATACAAAAATGAAGGAGTTCAAAGCACAAAGGAAGCATCCAGTTCTGTAGTCTTTTACCTCATGTAAAACATGCATGTCTCCAAACAGTTGCGTTGTACTAAGATTTCTAGGAAAGCTACCATTATTGTTACAATTGACATAGTGATTTATCACGTAATAGACTTTCTGTCCCCTATGCTTGCAAAACTCTGCTATTCACAAGTGTTGTTATTTGAGGAACTCTCTCTCTCCTCTCTCTTATTTAGTTGACATAAATTGACTAAATACTCTTATGAATAGATCTATATGGTAATTTGCATCATGTAGCTAACATCCTGTTTATATGGCATTCATTCTAACACTGTTCTCTTCAGTGAATGAAAAATGTTGGCAATGTGTTCCCTCAGGTCTGTAACTATGGCCGGCAGTATGCGTCTAGAACAAAATATGTGACCAATAGAATGTCTTAAACTGTAGGGACTGTATAGAAAAGCTGATTACTTCTTTCCTTTCACTGCTTCATAGGGCTTGGTGAATTTCCTCCTGTTGGTAAGAAGCTCCACCATTTCTGGGATGTAATTTGCAAATAGTACCTAAAATAATAAGTAAAAAGAAAAACACCTCAGGGCTCATTACTTTGACAGATATTCCCAAGAAAAAGACAAGTACACATAAATGTCTTTCACCCAGCACAGTGGTTCTCAAGCTTCCTAGTGCTGCAACCCTTTAATACAGTTCCCCATATTGTGGTGACTCCCAACCATAACATTATTTTTGTTAGCTAACCATTGGGCCAAGCTCCTGGAATACAATTGAAGTGAGGGAGGAGCGATAATATGAACAAAGGAATCAAGACCATGATGGGGAAACCCACCGAATCAGCTGACCCAAGCTAGTGAGAGATCACTAACTGCAGCCTGACAAATGGGGAACCTGTGTAAGACTTAACTAGACACCCTTAATATAGGTGACAATCGTGCAACTGGGACAATATGTGAGGCCACTAGCAGTGTGGGTTCGAGATCTAACTCTATATGGAGAGATACCTTACTGAGCCTAGACACGGGTGTGGAGGCTGGAGAGGGGCCTTGGTCCTGCCTCTATGAGATGAAGGGACAGACTTAGTAGACTTCCTAGGGGAGGCCTTACCCTCTCCAAGGAGCAGATGGGAAGTGGGGTGGGGAGAAAGTGAGGGGAACAGGAGGAAATGAGAGAGAGCGAACTGGGATTGGAATGTAAGAAATTAATAAAAAAATTATTTTTGTTGCCACTTCATAACTGTAATTTTGCTACTGTTATGAATTATAATGTAAATATTTTGGAGCTCTACCTCCTTCCACCCCTGAAAACCAAGCAGTTGCACTCCAGGATCCAGGGTACAGGGTTTGGAAAATGTAGGATCTGTGCATCTTTTAATTTTCACATGCACTGAGTAAAGCAACATTCACTTTCAAATCTATATTGGTTTCTCACCATTAACTGAATGTTTTATCTTTATATCCAAGATAAAAAAGTATTCCTCACCAGACTTCCAAGGGTGAAGAAAACAATGAAAGTTCGTCCTAGGGATGTCTTGGCTACCACATCCCCAAAGCCAACAGTTGACATCGTTGCTGTTACCAGATAAACGGACTCAAAGTATGACATAGGCTGTGAATTTCTACCATGGAGCCAGGGGTCACCAGAATTTTCCACCTGTTCAAAGAGAGATGGCAAAGGAAAGGTCTGTGAATAGAAGGGAGGGAGAAGGCAAACACCGCATCCATTTCCCCCAGTTCAGTCCAAAGACAAGAGCAAATGACTGACTGCAGCCGCTAACAAGGCCCTGCCAATTGTGGGTGGTGATCAGAAAACCTTGTCCCCACAATTATGATTACCACTGACATCCCATGGGGCACCTGGCATGCACTGAGATTTGGAGCACCCTGTGGGAGTTGCTGCCTGCTTCCCTTGAGGCCAGAACTGCATCCTGGAGCCAGGGGTCTCCAGCAGTCCCCATTCATTTTCATTTTCTAAGAAGATGGTGAAAATGAGGAAGCTGAGCCTGGGTTTCAGTGAGCCTAAGCACGTGACCTTAACTGCTAAGAAAAAACAAACTTCCAAATCGATTCCAATGAGGTGGCACCAGTTTGCTTTTAGTCATGGGACTGCTACAAGGATGCTCACACTGGTGGATGTCATTAGAGACTACAAGGATGCTCAAACTGGTGGATGTCATTAGAGACTACAAGGATGCTCACACTGGTGGATATCATTAGAGACTACAAGGATGCTCAAACTGGTGGATGCCATTGGGGACTACAAGGATGCTCACACTGGTGGATGTCATTAGACTACAAGGATGCTCAAACTGGTGGATGTCATTAGACTACAAGGATGCTCACACTGGTGGATGGCATTAGACTACAAGGATGCTCACACTGGTTGATGGCATTAGAGACTACAAGGATGCTCACACTGGTGGATGCCATTAGACTACAAGGATGCTCACACTGGTGGATGCCATTAGACTACAAGGATGCTCATACTGGTAGATGTCATTAGACACTACAAGGATGCTCACACTGGTGGATGTCATTAGACTACAAGGATGCTCACACTGGTTGATGGCATTAGAGACTACAAGGATGCTCACACTGGTTGATGGCATTAGAGACTACAAGGATGCTCACACTGGTGGATGGCATTGGGGACTACAAGGATGCTCATACTGGTAGATGTCATTAGACTACAAGGATGCTCACACTGGTAGATATCATTAGAGACTACAAGGATGCTCACACTGGTAGATGTCATTAGACTACAAGGATGCTCATACTGGTAGATGTCATTAGAGACTACAAGGATGCTCATACTGGTAGATGTCATTAGACTACAAGGATGCTCATACTGGTAGATGTCATTAGACTACAAGGATGCTCACACTGGTGGATGGCATTAGACTACAAGGATGCTCACATTGGTTGATGGCATTGGGGACTACAAGGATGCTCACACTGGTGGATGCCATTAGAGACTACAAGGATGCTCAAACTGGTGGATGTCATTAGAGACTACAAGGATGCTCATACTGGTAGATGTCATTAGACTACAAGGATGCTCACACTGGTAGATGTCATTAGAGACTACAAGGATGCTCAAACTGGTGGATGGCATTAGACTACAAGGATGCTCACACTGGTGGATGTCATTAGAGACTTCAAGGATGCTCACACTGGTGGATGTCATTAGACTACAAGGATGCTCACACTGGTGGATGTCATTAGACTACAAGGATGCTCACACTGGTTGATGGCATTAGAGACTACAAGGATGCTCACACTGGTGGATGGCATTGGGGACTACAAGGATGCTCAAACTGGTAGATGTCATTAGAGACTACAAGGATGCTCACACTGGTAGATATCATTAGAGACTACAAGGATGCTCACACTGGTAGATGTCATTAGAGACTACAAGGATGCTCACACTGGTGGATGTCATTAGAGACTACAAGGATGCTCACACTGGTGGATGTCATTAGAGACTTCAAGGATGCTCATACTGGTAGATGTCATTAGACTACAAGGATGCTCACACTGGTGGATGGCATTAGACTACAAGGATGTTCACACTGGTTGATGGCATTAGAGACTACAAGGATGCTCACACTGGTGGATGGCATTGGGGACTACAAGGATGCTCACACTGGTGGATGCCATTGGGGACTACAAGGATCTACTTACCAGATGAAGGAACCCTGCAGCTGTGAACCAGGTACTGAGAAGTATTGACAAGAGTTTGGAAAGCTTCACTGAATTACTAAAAGACAAGGACAAAGAACTGTTAGGTCTCTGCAAGCAGGTTCTCAATCAACACAAACACATTGTCCCCAAGGGTTCTGCTCACAGCGTGGGCCACAGACTGGAAGGTAGAGCATCATCTAGGGCTCTGCCCTCACCTATCAGTCTGCATGGATACCTGGCATTTGTATCATTCATGTATGCATTACAAGTCTGAGAAACACTGCTGGGAACTCACCCGGTGTTGTGTATTTCTTCAAACACTAAAGATTTTACTGTATCATCTATTAGCCTGGTGTGTTTTTTTGTTTTTGTTGTTTTGTTTTGTTTTTTAATACAGGGTTTCTCTGTGGCTTTGGAACCTGTCCTGGAAGTAGCTCTATAGAACAGGCTGGCCTCGAACTCACAGAGATCCAATTGCCTCTGCCTCATAAGTGCCTGGATTAAAAGCGAGTGCCACCACCACTTGGCTAGCCTGGTGTTTTAAAGACATACATACATGTGATCAGTGCTCAGTAAATATGTAAGGTTATATAACTTTGTCTCAAGTAGCGGAATACATGTGATCAGTGCTCAGTAAATATGTAAGGTTATATAACTTTGTCTCAAGTAGCAGAACAAAATGACAGGAGTCCAGTGTGGATCTGAAAAACAAAATGTGAGTAGATTACAGGAATGCAGTGTCATACAACATACCAGGATTGTTGAGGGAAAAGTATCAGAGAGGCTTAAGTCTGTCAAGGAAAGCCTAGAACTTGGCTGAAATAGCTGTGGTTTCTGACCTGGCCATTTGTCATGTAAAAAACAATCTTTCCCGTCTCGACTTCTTTACAATGCACACTAAACACTGAGATGCACCTAGACTATAATATTGACATTTCTAATAAAAACGTAGCAGTGTGTTGAAAGAGATAGCTTGCACTTTTATTATTGTGTTTTGGAGATATTTAAGCTGCATTTTTTTATCTGTCATGCGGGGGTTTGAACCCAGGATCTTGTATATGTCAGGTAAATGCTCTCCCATTAAGCCACACCCTAAGCTCATGGATCTACTTCCCTAAGCAATAGTTCACTGCTGCTGATGGACATAGCTCAGGGGAACTGTTTTACCTCTAACCCTGAAGAAGTGTTTATTAGCCAGTAAGAGGTGGTTCTTTTTATGATTGATTACCTTTGTTCTTTCATAGTTGTATACATGCATAAAATGTATTCTGATTACTCTCTCCTGCAATCCTCAGTTATCATCCTGTCAATCCCCACCCTACCAGTTCCTTTCCCAGATTTGTGACTCTTGGGTTTGGTCTTGTAACCCTCTTAGTTTAATCAGAGCCATCTTCTGTGCAGTGGATCTCATTGGAACCTCCTGGGGTCACCACTGACTCTCCAGCTCTGTGAATTTATCAGCATATGATGGTTCATCGGTGAGGGGTAGTGCCCTTTGAGGCCCTCCCTCCATCCATGCCTGATTGGCAATGGGCGTGTTCTTGTGCAGACCCAGGGCAGACATCCTTGGTTACTGTGAGGTCACAATCGCAATGGCTGTGTCTCATGGAGATGGTGTTTGTAGCCTTTTTCCCTGTCTCCTGTCTCTCTCACTAATTCTTTCTGCCTCCTCTTCCTTAGAGGAGGAATGTGTGTCTTGTTTAGGCCCGGGTGCTCATACATCACTTATTATCAGCACTCTGTACAGCCTGAGTCTCTTCACTCACCCGGACCACTAGGAAAAAACGGTGTCTCTGATTAAGGCTGAGAGTGGCATTTGTCTACGGATATAAATGTAAGTTTTACATTATGAAGTATAAACAATCGTACTCCACCTATGTGCTCTGTGATACCCTGTGGCATGGGTTTTTAACCAGGTTCACAGTACCAGGCATGGATTCCCTCCATGGAGCAGGTCTCAAATCCAAGCAGACAGCAGGTGGTTGCCCCCATGACAGTAGCGCCATTGCTGCACACGTGGGCACATCTCGTTCGTCTTATAGTCTGTAGGGTTAACAACTGGTAACACCACTGATGCCTTTGTACCTCAGCAGCTTGCATAGCATCTTGAGGGAGGGACTATAAAAGCTAGCCAGCCTGTGGTCCTGACCAGGAACTCTATGGGAGGTTTCCCATGTCTGGTACTGGTGTTTGTTTAACAATCCCTGGCTTCTAGGGACAGCATTTTCCAGCCACACAGAGAGAGGTGTTTCTTAATAACAAACGGATAAAACCCAAACCTCTGTATGGACTGACGACTTTTGTTTTGGGTAGAGAGATCTGGAATTAAAATTAAAGCAGACTTACATACTGTAATTTTGCAAAACAAGAAACAAGCAGTCTCTTTACAGGGACTGCCAAGTTTTCAGCCAGGGTGCTAAATGCTACATGGAGGAAGAGAGTGAGTGAGAGCACAGATGAGAGAGAGGGAGGGAGGAAGGGAGGGAGGGAGAGCACAGATGAGAGAAGAGAAGAGAGAGGGAGGGAGGGAGGGAGGGAGGGAGGGTGGGAGGGAGGAGGGAGGGAGAGAAGGAGGGAGGAGGGAGGGAGGGAGGGAGAGCACAGATACTGAGGGATTCCCCGTTTTCACACTGGTGGGACATAGGGAGCTTTCGGATCTGTTAATGTTTTCATTTCCCAATCCAAGCCTCCTAGCTAGCACATCAGGCAGTGCTGCAGTTACCTGCTCTTGATGATTTGGAGGATATGTAAGATTTTAGGGAGTTCGAGCAACCGCAAAGCTCTTAGAAACCTTAAACCTGCAACACAACCAGGAGAAAGCAGCCTGAAATATAATGTGATTGGAATACATACACTCTGCATCCTGAAACCCTGAAATATAGCGTGCTGTAATGTTACCGCTTTAAGGACATGTGAATCCTGGTCCTAAAAGCTAACTAACTACTATCACCTAGGGTACCTACTTTTATAGTTAGTTCCTCATCCAAATGTGAGGATTATTATAGGACCCAGCTTACAGCATCATAGACCTGACCTCAAGCGTGTAAGATGCTGGCCTTGCATGTAGCAAGCACTATTCATTTTACTCTAACTCCACTTTAGAATTTATAGGGAACTTTACATGGATTCATTAAGCTCCTGATTATTCAACTTTTCAATACTCCTAGTTTTACTTTCTATAGCTTGTTAACAATAGCAAGAAATAGAATATAAACAATAAATAAAACATAAAATGTTTTAAAAGCCAATTTTTAAAAGCCTGTGCATTGCCAATACACCCACCTCAAAGACAAAACAACTAATGAATAATTTCCAGATGTTACGGCATATTTGATAGTTGACCTTCAGAGAACAGCATTGTTTGAGCTCATAAGAGACCGCAGCACAGGGGTCCCTGGATGCTTGAGCCTTGCCCCCTCTGGTTGTAGATAGTTATCCCATCAAAAGTTACTGGACACCTGCTGTGTACCAGGTGCATTGCTACATGCTGAGATCAAGAAATGATTTCTGATCATTCTGCTGGGGACACATCCTAGCATTAATGAGGTAGAGGCAGGAGGGTCTCTGTGAGTTCAAAGCCAGTCAGAGAAACACAGTGAAATCCTGTCTCAAAGCAAAACAAAACAAAACAAAAAAAATGTTTCTGCAAATATAGTACAAAACTCTACAGTCAAGACAGGGTTGTGGTATTTAAAAAAAGATAAATATACTAACTGAATGTTGAGTGGTTTGGACTTAAAACAACCTTGATACTGATTACTGACTGCCACAGAATACTTACCTAGCCAATTACTCTTCAAATAATAAGAAATAAAGGTTGGTGGGATAGTGAAAATGTCTACAATTGAATTCATCTCCAACCAGAACTTGATCTTGTCTTCAGCTGCCCAAAACTGAAATGGAAACAAAACACCCAAATTATATTATTACCCTTGGGATTTTTAAAAAGATTTTGAAATTATTTTATGTATATAAGTATGTGTGTCTATGCATAAGCCTCTATGATTGTGTGTGTACCAAGTGCAAGCCTGGTGCCCTTAGAGATCAGAAGAGAGCGTCAGAGCCTTGGAATCTGAAATTACAGACAGTTGTAAGCTACCATGGAGGAGCAGAGCCTCCTCTACAAAGCATCAAGTGCTCTTAACTGAAGAGCTGCTCTCCATCCCCTACCTACCATGGAGAGTTTTAAAGTGACTATGAAGGACGATAATAATTCAGCTATATTTCATTCATTCACTGAAGTTTTCACCTCATGCTCTCTAACACATATACAAATACATCTATGCAAATACACTAATGCATACATATTACGTAAAGAGATTGTACCTTGGGCTGAACATGGTGATACACAACTTTAATCCCAGCTCTTGTGAGGCAGAGGCAGGTGGATCTCTGTGAGTTTGAGGCCACCTGGTCTCAAACGCAGGTTCAGTTCCCAGCACCCACATGGTGACTCAGAACCATCTCTAACTTCAGTAAGAATTCCAAAGGATTGCACGCCCTCTTCTGGCCTCCGTGGGTTTCATGGCCAACTGGTGCACAGATATACAGGAAGACTCTTAAAAAGAAAAACACCTCATGGGCCCCAGACTGATGGCTGGGAAACCAGCATAGGACTGACCCAGACCCCTGAACGTGGGTGTCAGTTAGGAGGCCTGGGAAATCTATGGGGCCTCTGGTAGTGGATCAGTATCTATCCCTGGTATACGAATGGACTTTGGGAGCCCATTCCACATAGAGGGATACTCTCTCAGCCTAGACACACGGGGAGAGCCTAGGCCCTGCCCCAAATGTTATGACAGACTTTGAAGATCCCCCATGGAAGGCCTCACCCTCCCTGGGGAGCAGAAAGGGGATGAGATAGGGGTCTGGTGGGGGCAGGAGAGGAGGGGAGGGAGAGGGAACTGGGATTGGCATGTAAACAAGCTTGTTTCTAATTTAAATAAAAAAAGGAAAAACAAGAAAAGAAAAACACTTGGAAAACAAATCAAAAATACAAAAATAAGACGGCACATGTGCCACTAGTATAACAATGGCATTCAAGGTCTACTAGCTTTTGATTGCTAGTGAAGCTTCCCTAGTGGAAGGCCAGAAGCCAGTAAGAACTGCAGACATGGTGTTTAACAATGGGATATTTTCAGTTGGGTTGGAATTCTGGACCTGGTTTACACTTTCAAGCCCAGGAGAAACAGGATACAGGTTTTAGGTCTCGTTAAATATTTAACAATTTAAGCCGGGGGGGGGGGGGTTGGTGGCACACGCCTTTAATCCCAGCACTCGGGAGGCAGAGGCAGGTGGATCTCTGTGAGTTCCAGGCCAGCCTGGTCTACAGAGTGAGTTCCAGAGCAGCCTCCAAACAATACAGAGAAACCCTGTATCAAAAACCAATATATATATATATATATGACAACTTAGGGCACAGATCTACCTTTAGAGCCTGAGAATTGAGGGAGACTGAATAAACAAGGAACAAACTGGTCTCCTAACATTGCTTCTGTCTGTGTATGGGGGCAGTAGTTATTATCATTTTACATAGGTACTTACCCTCAACCCAAAGTAGAAACTAAAGAAAGCATTGAAACCCAAATCAACAGAGACCGTTTTGTCTTCATATGAAGTACACCTTCCAATGGGGCTGGAAAGAAATGAGAACATTTTGCAAAGATGAACATTTTTTTGTTGTTAAATTATTTTTTTATTTTTTTGTTTTATTCACATTGATGTTTTACTTAAATGGAACAGGAGTTACAGACAGTTGTGAGCTGCCATGTGGGTGCTGGAAATTGAACCCAGGTCTTCTGGAGTAGCAACAAGTGCTCTTAACCACTGAGCCATCTCTCCAGCCGAAAGATGAACACGTTAAAACCTATGTCTACAGAGGGGTAGACAATGTACATGTGCACTATGAGCTGTCCATTGAAGATGTTTCCCATTGGAATGGAATTCTCTTCCTCTGGGGAATGGAACTATGAACAAGTGAAGCCACTAGACCATACGTGGAGCTGCGAGCAGTAGGAGAATGACTCACCACTCCATTACAGAGCTTACTGGTTCCACTTCAGATTTTTAAGTTGGTACCCAAAGCCTCAAAAATTATACGGTCCTTTGTGGTTGAAAACCTATCTAGTCAGGGTTTTCCAGCTTCTCTACACCTTTGAGATCAAACGAATGGATCTGAAAGAAGTTCAAAGGTGTATCCTAAAAGATGTGCCAGGAATTTCCAAAGCAAAGACTACCATTTGCCTGGGTTTTCTGAAGTAACTTGGCTTTTGTGGCCTGCAATTCTTACTTTTACCCCAGATGGGTATTTAATACAATTCTCAGAGGCTTGCATGAAGTGTAAATTAGACTGGGTTTAGTTTTTGAAAAATATTGTTCTAGCCTTGACATGTTTAAGAAGAGCATGACTTCAAAGAATCCATCCAAGGTTGAAGTTGCAAAGGTCTCTGAGGCATAAGAGAGGCTCTGAAACACCCCAGGACTTCTTTCTCAACTCCTGAGAGTGAGTGGCCCCCTATGAGGAAGTGACAGCTGGGAGTTCAGAGTCTGCTATACAGCTGTACACCCCACCCCAACACGAGCAATGGAGGAGGCAAAATACAGGGCAAACTGCATGCACTTATCACAGAAGTGGAGTTAGTCTTCCTCACTGGGGGAAACGGGGACAGCTACATGATCACCAGTTTGATTAGCTTCTGTGGGGGCAGGGTGTGGGTGTGGATGTGTGCACACATGCAAGCCAAGCTCTACTGACATCCCTGGAGAGAAGTTCTAAAGCAGTTAAGTTACTGATAAAGCAGACAAGAATGACTGGGCTTTTTACTCACTCTGTTGAATTGATGAAATAGATTATAAGAGAGCCGATGCTTAGTACAAAGACAAGGATCACCTAAAAACAGGAAAGGACGGGACATGATGCTATTTTATTGACACAGAACAAATAAGCCCACAAAATTGTCTTTTCTGTTTTAAATGAAGTAAATGTTATTACGTATTTTATTCCTATGTGCAGAGAAGGGCGGGGAAGAAATGGGTTTCCCCCACCTCACCTATGCATGTGTAGTGCTGCATTCAACGTTCATTTATGCCTGCATTCTTTCATTCACTGAAGAAAAGTGCACTATGCCAACATGTACCCATGTTACTTAACTTTAGCTCCCACATGCTTCACAATAACGAGGGGTCCCTTCCTACTTCCCGTAGAGTTTAGCGAATGTTCCGGTGTGCTTAGCATGTGTCACGTGCTTCGTTTCCTGGTAGAAACGAGGGCTAGTAAACAATAGGACTTGAACTGCCCGTGATGTGTGCTTAGGGACCTCTCCCTACCTGAGAAACCATTCCGTGAGAGGGAAGGGAGCGCTTCTGCTGTGCCAGTTTGTCTGGTGGGTGAAGCACACACCCGGAAGCTGCTGCTTACTGAAACCCCCAGTGGAGTTGGGAGAGGTCTTTGGCAGCCTCTGTGATTTTTCTCAGGCCAGCTTTGGATAATTAAGCATCTGTCTGGTCATTTCTAATATCCAAACCACCAGGTTTTTGCCTGACATGGTGGGTCACACCTTTCATCCTAGCACTCAGAAGGCAAAGGGAGGTGGATCTCTGTGAGTTTGAGGCCAGCCTGGCCTACATAGAGAGGCCAGACAGGGGTACTTAGTGAGACCCTGTCTAGAAAAACAAATGTTTTCAGTATATTTAGTACAATGTAGCTTTAATGATCAAATTCAGAATTTCATTTACAATGAGATTTTCACTACCTTTCAACTGAAATATTGCTTAGGTAGGCCTCTTATGTTCTTTTCTCTTAACCATTTGTGTTTGTGTTGATAGGTTCTTTTACTTTATTGCTGGCTAGGCTCATTGCGGCTGTTTGGTAGGAGGCATGGAGGTCTTTGTCTCACAAAGGGAACCTGGAATGTTAAGCAAGCACTGAGGGCTGTCCCTTCAGGGGAAGGGATGCCATGCTTGCTATCCATGCAGAAAGCTGGGAGTGGATCCGAGCTCTAGCCTAGTGACCTGTGTTCTTTCTCTGTGACCAGACTTTTTCCAGCCCCAGCTTGTCTCCCAGACCCTGATCATAAATCTTCTCAAGGAATCTATAGAGCCTATCTTCGTGAACTTTAGGAAGACTTTTGATGTGCTCCCATCTGATCTGTATTTAGCTTACTGTATTCCTCAAGATGATTTATATCTTTTTTGTTGTGCACATGGGACTGAATTAATCATCACCAGAATAATTTTCACCAAACTGTGAAGCGCTTAAATACACCTAAAATGAACTATTCGGTGCCAAACTCTTGAAGTTGTAACCAACACCAGCTCCTGGACTGTGTTGAGAGGAACTGCCTTATTGCCTCTGTGACTCCTCTCTCTGCTGCCATTAAGGCCACAGAAGTCCCTGCAAAAGTGCTCCTAACCTGACTGGTGTTCCATCATGACACCCATGCCCAGGAGTGCCTCAGCATATAAGCTATTTAGTGTTTATTTTTGTGAGGTGAGGTTGGGGGGTGGTACACAGTCTGGTTGAATATCGTATAAGGCTGATTTATTAGAGACTTGGGATTACAGAGGCATGGAATCCAGAGGGAAAGTGGTCTTGGGCATCAGCCTCTGCAGCTGACTTAACATCAGAGTCTAGGAAATCCTTTTTAATGTATTAGCTTTGCAGATAATTTGCTTTCACCAACTAAAAGCTCAGATGTGACCTGAAACCAACCTATAGCAAAGATTGAATGGCTTTGCCATAGCCTTCCTACCTGATGTCCTTACCAGTGTATTCGGGGAAAGCTTTGATTTGTGATTTTTCTTTTACTCATTTTACACAGCAACCATAGTTTCCCCTACCTCCCCTCCTTCGCTTTTCCCCCATCTACCCCCAACACATCCCCATCCACTTCTCAGAAAGGGGCAAGCCTCCCATGGCAGTCAGCAAAGCCTGGCACATCCAGTTGAGGCAGGACCAAGCTCCCCTCCCCACCCCGCATCCCACCCACCATATGGGATGGGCTTTACAAACCCAGCCCATGTACTAGGGAGAGCCCCACACACAGTGCTGGAACGTAGCTAAGACCAGCATGGAGAAGACACCCGTGTGAGAAGAGTACAGAGGGGTTACGATCATGTTCACGGCTACAGTTCATGAGAACATTGAAAGTGAACTCACCAACACTTGCCCCACGATGGTCTGTGCAGAAAGCAGCATTTCTATACGATTACGAAACATTCTATAAAAGTAAACTCTTTTTAAAGGGTTAAGGCCGATATTCCTTGATGTGAACAGACCCTGTGCGCAAGAAAAAGGAATGACCAGTGAGCTGCAGCTCAAGAGAAAGCTCCTTTTCAGGTTGAAGAGGATCTTATCATGGTATTAGTCAGAAACCATTCCACCTGGCCCAGCCAGACAGTGAACACTAGGAAGACTAAACATTTCCTGGAGCAGTCAACTAAGGAAATTTCTAAATGCTCAGACTCTGCACACACACACACACACACACACACACGCACAATATGTTCATTAGCCATTAATCCAAAGAGTATCAGAATTCTTTCCCCAATAATTTTATAATGTTGTTTAAAGTCTTGTCTTCCAAAGTTTTGTTTATTTTCATTTATGTATATGGGTGTTTTGCCTAAATGTAATGTCTGTGCAACATGTATGTGCCTGGTGCCCAGGGAAGCCAGAAGAGGGCATCAGATCCCTTGGAACTGGAAATATAGACAGTTGTGAGTCTCCATGTGGGTGCTGGGAATTGAACCCAGGTACTTTGGAAGAGCAGACAGTTCTCTTCACCCCTGAATCACCCTCCAGCCCTGTTTAAAGTCTTTAAAGTAGAAACAATTGCAGAGTAGACTGGCTTATCAATAAAATCTATGAGCTTCAATACTAGATATTCTCAAATACAGAAATATAAAATCCATATTACAAATAACCTTAACTTTTTACTCTTATTTCAAACTATGTTATTTTATGCCACCATAACATTAAGAGATATATTAGGCAAAATTTGCATATTTATTATGATACACAAATAAAATGTGTTTTATTACAAAAATTACTATATTCTAAGAAGAAACAGAATTGAAGAAATGAAAACGAGCCAGGCATTGGTGGTGCATGCCTTTAATCGCAGCACTTGGAAGGCAGAGGCGGGTGGATCTCTGTGAATTTGAGGCCAGTCTGGTCTACAGAGTGAGTCCCAGGATAGGTTCCAAAGCAATACATAGAAACCCTGTCTCGAAAAACAAACAAACAAAAAAAATGAATGAAAATGAAAACAAACAACAAAGGACTTGATAAAATTCTTCTATTGAGCTAATTGTGGTAGCAAATCCCATTAAATCCCAGCATACAGGAGGCAAAAGCAGGTGAGTTAGAAGCCAGCCTGGTCTACATAGCAAGTTCCAGGCCATCCAGGGCTACGTTGGGAGACTCTGTCTCAAAACAAACAACAGCAACAACAAAGCTAAAACAGTCATGTGGATTTAAAGAGAGGTATTTCAAACTATTAATATATCATCTTCATAAAGCATCATTTGTTGCTATGGTCATCATTTTGCCAGCTAATCATATCGACCTTCACAAAGTGAGTTAGGCTACAAAAAATGTCTAGGTGTTTGGGGCTGGTGTAGGTTACACATAAAACCACAAAACACTTAAGTGTACACATACAGATGCATATGAATCATGCACGAAGGATATTTGAAAGTTAGGCTGAATTGATGTCTTGTGCCTTTGTTGCTCCCTTACAGTAGCTAACAAAACTCTCTCTGAAACAGGGTCTCATGTAGCCTAGGCTGACCCCAACCTCACAACAATCTTCCTGCTTCAAGTGATGGGATTATCCCATTAAGTACCACATTTGGTCGTAACTGTCAATGTTTCTGGAAGTTTGTTTGTTTGTTTGTTTGTTTTGGAACAGAGACTCTAGTACACACATCATCATCCATGCTCACCAAGCTGTGCACTGGTTGTCTTGGGCCTTATTTCCTGCCCTTTATGAAGCATCAAGCTCATTAGTCTGAAAATCAAGGAAGGCCTGAACTGCTTGCTAAACACAGACATATGCCAAACTTAGCTGCAATCTTCCCATACAGATGTCCCAAGGAAGGAAACTGACCAAGATTATTCCTGTACACCTGATGTCTCCACATCTTTTTGAGACTCTAAAGATTAATCTGGAAGTGAGTAAGATGATGAGTCCCCCGAAGAAAGTCACAAAGGAGGAGAGAATAAATGCTGCTTGGATTTCAATTGTGCAGAAATTTTCATCCGATTCTTTATCAGTTAAATCTTTTAGCAATGCTTCAAACATCTTGAGACCACACTGTTGGGCTATTCTATGATGTCATGGTCACCTGGCAACAGTTCCAGGAGGTATACTTCCTTGTATTGCATCATCTTAGGATTGGATGTGAAAGCCAATGAGAAGTTCAAGGGACAAGAATTCTCCAACCACTTTGGGGAAACCCAGACTGCACTTAACTGCTAGAAAATGGTAGGGCTTACCAATGGCAGTCAGTAGATGGGGAGATGGGGATTCTAGACACCATCGTTATTTTATCTGTGACCTTGAGGAATTAAGGGACTGTGAGCAGCTGGCTACCCATTTCAATTGACTTGTTTAATCAAACAACTTCAAATTTTGTTTTTGGTGAAGTACATCTAATGATCTCAATACTGGCTCTGTATCGTTCTGAGGCAACATCATATTCTCGATAACTTCAGGGAAAAAGAACACACACACACACACACACACACAGTAACTATGAAATTGTAGGTGTGTTTCATTATAACCATTTAAATATGCATAAACTGATGTGTGATATTTTTAAAGATTTATTTATTTATTATGTATACAGTGTTCTGTCTGCATGCGTGCCTATAGGCCAGACAAGGCCATCAGACCTCAGGCCAGACAAGGGCATCAGATCTCATTATAGATGGTTGTGAGCCGCCATGTGAGTGCTGGGATTTGAACCTGGGTCCTCTGGAAGAGCAGCCAGTGCTCTTAACCGCAGAGCCATCTCTCCAGCCCGTGATATTTTGATTGTGTTCTGACAAATAAAGTTTGCTTGGATTAAGAGGGCAGAGCTATCCACTGGCTGACCTAAATTAACCACGGAGGTTTGGAGGACTGTAGACAGATAGGAGACAGGACGTAGCGAGGCAAGGCTGAGAGAAGATCTCTGCCTTTTGGAGGAAGCAATGGAAGAGGTAGGAAGTCACTGGTGACTGCCCTCTGCTTCTCTGATATTTCAGGTTCTCACCCTAATATCTGACTCCTGGTTTTTTTATGGATAAAGAATAATTAGTAAGGCCTGGCATTCCGCTCAGCACAAACTAGCAAGATAACTGCTTGCTGCAGCTTTGCAGGTATTGGCAGCCAGCAGAGCTGTACCCACTGGAGCCGCCATGCTACCGGCTGCCTTTTCCTTTCTTTCTCCTAGCCCTCTGAGTGAGTTTGGGATTCTCCTGTTGCAGCCTCTCTACAACAGTCTCCGGTTGCCACTCAAACTCCAGAGGCACCCGGGCTCCAAATGCCACTTGATTTACCTGCCCACATCTGGCTGGCTCTGCCTTCAGGCAGCTCCTGCCACACAAACTCCTTCCACATAATCCTGTGTGTCTGCTTTACAGACAGCTGGCTCCTTCTCCCCGGTCTTATCAGGAGGGCAATCAGTACTGAAGGCCACGGTTTATTAATAGATCATTTAATTAACCATCCAAAGGTGGGGGCAACGGCAGAAGACATCTATTATCATGTATAAAGGGCTGATAGCAAATATTTCCCTTAATCCTAGAGACACTTGTTTGCAGTGGGTACTCAAGCCCTCAGGCACTCCACACCAGCACATCTCACTAGCCTTCAGAATGGGTGTAGACTTCCCCTGGCCCATGGCTATTGTTACTTAGAATAGAAGCCATTCTCCTCCTGAGGCCAGACCAACCAGTGGCTATCAGCCGACACCTAAAAGACAACAGAAACTCTGGGCTCTCCAGAACTCATGGCTGGGTGGAGACTTCCAAAATATGCAGACCTCGACATTATATGATACACACCTTGGCTCTATGCTGTACAGCACCTTTAAGTGCTTGGGACAGAATTAAAGAAGTTGGAAAGGGAATTGAGTCATTTACTAAAGTTATACAGGGCCCAAAAGAAAACTTCTCTGATTTTCTTTTACAAAGATTGACTTCAGCTGTAAATAGAATGATATCAAATACAGAAGCTAGACAGATACTAATTGAATCTTTGGTTTTTGAAAATGTTAATTCACAATGCAAAGGAGACAATTAGTCCTTTAAAGGCAAGACCAGCACCACAGAGGAATGGACCTGAGATACAGCCAATACTGAATCTCATAACCATGATATGCTTGGATAGGAGAGGTGACTTCCAGAGGCTCGAAGGAAAATCAAAGTGCCAGCTGTTTTAATTGTGGTAAAGAAGGTCATCTAAAAAGGGGTTGTAGGCAGGCCATTCCTAGAAACAATGTTTTTTGTTGTTGTTTTTGTGGGTTTTTTTTAGTTAACCCAAAGAAGAAGGCCCCTGTCTTCTGGAGTATGCAGATGGTGTGGCAAAAGGTCGACACTGGGTCAAGGAATGCAGATCAACAAGGCACAGACAAGGTAGCCCTTTGTCTTTGGAAAATGCTTTGTGGGTGATTCTCATAGGCCCCCATGTCAAATTTGGTTCAATAATTCCCTGTCACCATGGGGGAAACTCCTCCCCAGAGCAATTAAAGGACCTAATGCCTATTGTAAAATTCCATACTCTTCTGGATGATAGAGCAGCTTTAGAAGATAAAACAAAAATTTCAAGAGAAACCATAAAGAAATATTTTGGCAAACTTTTATAAATGATCAAAGACCAAGGTTAGAAATATGAATAAGTGGCCTTGCAATTGAGGGTTTGGAAGACACAGAGAAAGATATAACAATAATTGTGCAAGAATCTTGGCATCCAAATTGGCCTCTTCAGGAGGTAAATATTCAGCTTTTAGGAATTGGAACTTTATTCCAGGTAAAACAGGTGTGAGATGGGTTGAGTGTACAGGGCCAGAAGGACAGAGAGGAAAATTAAAGCTGTATGTTGCTGACACAGCAATGAGTTTATGGAGACACGATTTGTTACAGCAATAGGATACCCAGATTAACATTCCTCCAATCTCAGAAACAAACCATAAAACATATGTTTCTGAGAAAAATATTAAAAGGTATTATAAAGAACAGTCACTGACCAATCAGGTTGTACATAAGTAGGGCACAACAACTGCTGATCTTTCAAAAGTACTAACAACTTTACCTTTAAAATGGTTAACTGACAATCTGTCTGGGTGGAACAATGGCCTTTGATATCAGAAAAATTACAGTCCTTAGAACAGCTGGCACCTGAGCAGCTAAATGTTCAACATATTAAAGAATCAACCAGTCCTCAGAATTCTGTATTGCTATTAAAAAGAAATATGGAAAATAGAGAATGGTAACAGATCTAAGAGATGTTATTAAGGTGACTCATCCAATGGTGTCTTTACAGCCAGGACTTCCCTTGCCTTCTCTATTACCTAAAGGGTTGTCTTTTATAGTGATTGATTTGAAAGATTGTTTTTTTTACTACACCTTTCTAAGAACAGCATAGAGAAAAACTCGCTTTCACAGTGCCTACTTATAAAATAATTCCCAGTCTATAGAAAATTCTTCCACACAAATGGTGCTGGTATAACTGGCTGTTGACATGTAGAAGAATGCAAATAGACCCATATCTATCACCATGCAAAAAACTCAACTCCAAATGGATCAAAGACCTCAGTATAAACCTATCCACAATGAACCTCATAGAAGAGAAAGTGGGAAATACCTTTGAGCACATAGTCAGTGATCTCTCACTATCTTGGGTCAGCTGATTCTGTGGGTTTCCCCATGTTGGTCTTGACTCCTTTGTTCATATTATCACTCTTCCCTCACTTCGATTACACTCCAGGAGCTTGATCCAATGGTTAGTTGTGGATTTCTTTATCTGCTTCCATCTGTTTCTGGAAGAGGATTCTAGTTTCTCTGGGCTTGTTGTAGATTGGGTACGTTTTGCTTTATGTCTGTTATCCACTTATGAGTGAGTACATACTATATTTGTCTTTATGGTTTCAGGTTACCTCACTCAGTGTCAGGGGCCTCCGGCCATCAACCAGATACGGCTGCCTCACGTACTCATAAGAAAAGATGTGACTCAACATTCATAGAGAGTACATGACTTTGGACCACCCTGCTACCTCTGTCAAATTCCAGATACAGACCTGCGGCTTATCTGCCTAGTCTAGTGCATAGGCTTGAACAATAGAAGGTGGAATGTGAAAGATAAAGTTAGAGTCTGCAGTTACGTTACCAGAGGACCAGAGGACACAGGATGACCTACCCATGCCACTGACCTTTGCTCCGCCAGGCTCACTGCAGCTGCAGCACACCCCCATTCCTTCCCCTCCTCCCTTCCCCTATATAAATCCCTTTGGGATGAAATAAAGCTGTCGCCTTGATCAGACTCCTGTCTTAGCATCCATTCTTCGTATCTCCTGCCCTCATCTTTCCCCTAGCTACCCTCCATCCCCCACGCTGAATATCCCTCTGTTTGGGGCATTAACTCAGGATGTTTGTTTTTTCTGGTTTGAATATGTTCCTTTTTAAGACATCAAAATTAAATAAACTTTTATAAATACACAGGCAACTGCTTTATCTTAAAATGAGAGAAAATATTTTAAGGAGCTTAAAGAACATAGAGAAGGAAGTGGGAGGTGGGACTCAGGTAACATGAATGTAGAGGAGAAGCCTCTAGGGGGGGAGGAAGGGGAAAGAGGAGTGGGAAAGAGTTAACCAAAAATAAATACATATGAAAAATACATGTGGAAATATATTATTCTGTAAGCTGTTCTTTTAGAAAGCATGAAAAAAATTGGGGAAGTACCTTGCATAGATGGATAATGCTGCTGCCAGAAGCCATAGGTTATTTTTTTTTCCGTCTTGCTTGAAGGTCTCTCCTTAAGGCATAGTGATTTTTTTCCTTTTTTTAAATTTAAATTAGAAATAAGCTTGTTTTACATGTCAATTCCAGTTCCCTCTTTCTCTCCCCTCTTCCCCTGCCCCCATCAACACCCTACCCCATCCCCGCTCTTCTCCCCAGGGAGGGTGAGGCCTTCCATTGGGGATCCCCAAAGTCTGTCACATCATTTGGAGCAGGGCCTAGGCCCTCCCCCGTATGTTTAGTTTGGGAGTGGACTCCCAAAGTCCATTCGTATACTAGGGATAAATATTGACCCACTACCAGAGGGCCCATAGATTAACCAGACCTCCAAAATGACACCCACATTCAGGGGATCTGAAACAGTCCTATCTGGTTTCCCAGCTATCAGTCCCTGAGCTCACTCTTGTTAAAGTCAGCTGGTTCTGTGAGTTTCTCCAGCCTGGTCTTGACCCCTTTGCTCATCACTCCTCTCTCTCTGCAACTGGATTCCACAGTTCAGCTCAGTGTTTGTCTATAGGTGTCTGTTTCTGCTTGCATCAGCTACTGAATGAAGGCTCTAGGATGGCATATAAGATAGTCATCAATCTCATTATCGGAGAAGGGCATTTAAGATAGTTTCTCAACTATTGCACTGATTGTTAGTTGGGGTCAACCTTGTAGATTTCTGGACATTTCCCTAGTGCCAACTTTCTCTTTTAGCCTATAGCCAGGTGGGTTAGGGTTAGCCTATAATGACTCATTCTTTTATGGTATCTCTTTTCTTGCTCTCCTCTATTCTTTGCCTGACTGGACCTTCCTACTCTCTCACGTCCTCCTCTCCCCTCCTCCCCTCCTCTTCTCCTTTTCTCTTCCGACTACCTACATCTCCCCTCCTCCCATGCTTCCAATTTGCTCAGGAGATCTTGACCCTGTCCCCTTCCTCGGACCATGTATGTCTTTCTTAGGGTCATCCTTGTTTCCTAGCTTCTCTGGCAGTGTGGATTGTAGGTTGGTAATCCTTTGCTATATGTCTAAAATCCATATATGATTGAGTACATACCATGTTTGTCTTTTTGTGACTGAGTTACCTCACTCAGGGTGGCTTCTTCTAGTTCTATTCATTTGCCTGTGAATTTCAATATTCCATTTTTTTTGTTTGTTTTTACGAGACAGGGTTTCTCTGTATTGTTTTGGAGGCTGTCGGTCCAGCCTGGCCTCGAACTCACAGAGATCCGCCTGCCTCTGCCTCCCAAGTGCTGGGAGTAAAGGCGTGCGCCACCACCGCCCCGCTCCATTGTTTTTTTTTTCTGCTCAATAGTACTCCATTGTGTAAATGTACCACATTTTCTCTATCCACTCTTCAGTTGAGGGGCATCTAGGTTGCTTCCAGGTTCTGGCTATTACACATGGTTGAACAGATGAGATGTCCTTGTATGAATGTGCATCTTTTGGGTACATGCCAAGAGTGGAATTGCTGGATCCTGGATCTTTTTTTTTTTTTTTTTTTTGGTTTTTTGAGACAGGTTTTCTCTGTGACTTTGGAGGCTATCCTGGAACTAGCTCTTGTAGACCAGGCTGGTCTTGAACTCACAGAGATCTGCCTGCCTCTGCCTCCCGAGTTCTGGGAGTAAAGGTGTGCGCCACCACTGCCCAGAATTGCTGGATCTTGTGGTAGAGTGATTCCCATTTTCCTGAGAAACCGCCATACTGATTTCCAAAGTGGCTGACTAGTTTGCATTCCCACCAGCAAGTGCAGGAGTGTTCCCCTTTCTCCACATCCTCTCCAGCATAAACTGTCATTGGTGGTTTTGATTTTAGGTATTCTGACAGGAGTAAGAAGGTATCTCAGAGTTGCTTTGATTTGCATTTCCCTGATGGCTAAGGATGTTGAACACTTTCTTAAGTGTCTCTTGGCCATTTTAGTCTCCTCTATTAAGAATTCTCTATTTAGTTCTGCAGCCTACTAATTAATTGGATTTTTGTGTGTGTGTGTGTTTTGGTGACTAGCTTCTTGAGTTCTTTGTATATTTTGAAAATCAGCCCTCAAAGATGTGGGGTTGGTGAATATCTTTTCCCATTCTGTGGGCTGCCGTTTTGTTTTGTTGACTGTGTCCTTTGCCTTACAGAAGCATCTCAGTTTCAGGAGTTCCCATGTATTAATTGTCCATCTCAGTGTCTGTGCTACTGGTGTTATGTTCAGAAAGTGGTCTCCTGTACCAATTTGTTTGATGGTACTTCCTACTTTCTCTTCTAAGAGGTTCAGTGTGGCTGAATTTATGTTGACGTCTTTGATCCATTTGGACTTAAGTTTTGTGCTTGGTGATAGATATGGATCTATCTGCAGTCTTCTACATGCGAGCATCTAGTTATGCCAGCACCATTTGTTGAAGATGCTTTATTTTTTCCGATTTATAATTTTAGCTTCTTTGTCAAAACTCAGGTGTTTGTAGGTGTGTGGGTTAATAAGGTTTTCAATTCAATTCAATTCCATTGGTCTACCTGTCTATTTTTGTGCCAATACCAAGCTGTTTTCAGCACTATAGCTCTATAATAGAGCTTGAAGTCAGGGATGGTGATGCCTCTGGAAGTTCCTTTATTGTACAGGGTTGTTTTGGCTATCCTGTTTCTTTCGTTTTTCCATGTAAAGTTGAGAATTGTTCTTTCAAGGTCTGTGAAGAATTGTGGGATTTTTTATGGGGATTGCATTGAATCGGTATATTGCTTTTGGTAAGACTGCCATTTTTACTATGTTGAGCCTACCTATCCAAGAGCATGGGAGATCTTTCCATTTTCTGGTATTATCTTTAATTTCTTTCTTTAAAGACACAAAGTTTTTCTATACGGAGTTTCCATGGAGAAGTCAGGTGTAATTCTGATAGGTTTCCCTTTATATTTTAATTGTCCTTTTGCTTTAGCTGCTCTTAATAGTCTTTATTCTGTATGTTTGGGGTTTTGATTATTATGTAGCGAGGGTACTTTTTTTTGTGTGGTCCACTCTATTTTTGGAGGCAGGACTAGTACCAGCTCCAGGCAGTCTCTTGGTGAACTGGACTGCCAGGATGGGATCCCCAATGTGCATTCCACAGGCCTTAGGCAACTCCGAGCAGGGCCAGAAACAGGACCATGGTTTTCTCCGCCATAGATTATTTAACAAAACTTCCAATGCCAGGTGTGAAGTATCTCCCAATACAATATAAGCCCTTGCCATTCCTGTTGGTTGCCAACCAGAAATAGATGGTAAGAACATATTGTTGAAGGCGTTGTACACTTGTGAGTATAGGACATAAAGAAATCAAACTGGAACTGATTTTAAAACTTGCTTCTTGTTGGCTAGTGTTCATAGTGCCAAATGGTGCTATGTAGATTACTAGAGGAGAAATGATGTAAAGAGTCTTACTCAGATGTGAACCCCTGTGAGCTACAATACCAACCAGCAGGTAAGATGTGTCCTGATGCAATAATGGCATGACTGTTATGGAGTTAACCAAACACTTTCTGCTTTGATCAGAGGCCTGCTCCACAGGAAGAAATTCATGTTTGGTACTATAAGCCTAGTCAAACGCTCATGACTCCATAGGTGATAGGCCCTCATATGGTAGGGTTCCCTGAGAACCCGGGGAAACAAAAACCAGATGAGCAGGCCAAGCAATGTCCTTGAATGAATGTCAGCTTCATAAGATCCCTCCCACAGGTCCTCTTTACTTACCAAACTTTCCTGAAGGCCTTGGGAAAGACAAAGAGACCACTCTATGGTTTAGTCCCTGCCAAGATGCTGATGTGTGTCATTGCTACATATCCTGAGAAACCCCCCATTGATCTACATGTGCGTGGGGGGGGGCAGTTCCACCAAGGGTCTCCTGGGTTCTTGGTTCTTTTGAACAGATATGTGGCTGAATCTGCTAGAATTCAAAGCTATTTTCCTGAAGAAACCTCAATGAACCATCTCTTATTCAGAATCCCACAACACTAATGGGAAACCTACTAGTTATTTTGCTAAATTGACATGTTATCAAACTGCCTTCTAAGTGTCTGTGTAGAACAGTAGATTGATGCTGCTCTCAGCCTTTGTCAGAGGAAACTCATAGGCCAGCGCTAAGAAAAAGTGACCGTTGAGTATTCAGCTCTAAGTGAGACACGTATGTAACCCTTCCCCCATCTTGTGCTCACAGGATGACAATGCCTTCATAAACTCACAGTAGCTGTGATTACTTGTACGAGATGGGAGCCTGTCAACATTTCATCATACATAGGGGTTTATGAGGCTCTACCCTACCTTGAGGAGTATTGGCAATTAATGGTTGCTGTGGTAAGGGACATACTTTTTTTTTTCAGTGATGTAGCCACTGGAAGAACACAATCATTTTTGTTGACTGAGGTCCCTCAATGTAGGTCCTATTGGCACTTTGAGTAGACTAACATTT